TGTATTGTTTTCAGGAGGTTGAAGGGGCAGAGAATTCCGCTTCTACTAACCTGGTTCCATGTTTTTAAATCAAAATCCAACTCAATAGCCTGACCACTATATTTCTTAAAATTACTACCAACACAATACGCCTTAATAGCTTCTTTTGTTAGTATGAAACATAAATTTATCACTCCTCACTGGATTAGAATAAACCACCCTTTGTGCTTCACTTCAAGAAGCAGCTAAATTTCTGTGGTTTCCTGTTTATGAGTGTGACTGCCTACATACATTTTCATCTTATCCTGAGTCTGCTGAATTTCATGCTTGAGACAAATACCTTTTCTTGGACTCATTCTTTTCAGTTTATGACACATGTGATATATATATCATATAAATGGCAAATTTTGAAGCTGTCTTTTAGAGTCAGGTTATACCCTGTAGTCATAAACATCATCGAGAAACACTGCTATGGAGACTAACCCTAACCACCACCCTGACAATAGGTAACCTGACAGCAAAAGCCTAACAACACAAAGTCTTCTTTCATGGTTTATCATACTCATGTTGGATTGTTGTGTCATCTGAACTTGGGAGAGCAGTATTATGATAGGCTGCTGGGAAGACCTAAGGAACCACTGGGTAAGAATTGCAAACTGCCCTGCTGTTCTTCACAAATTTGTCTATACCACCTCCAGCCTCCCTTGCCTGTGACTACTCCTCCACCAATACCCAAATGGCACTTGTTTGACAGTCCCTGTTTTGAGGGTGGGGGATCCAAGAAATCTGCACAAATGTCTTTATGATTTATTACAGTTATTTTTGATAGTCTTTTGAAAGTATGATCTCACAGTTGTCTGATGTGTAGTCCTGCCATGTCAATGCTGCTCCACATTTCAGCAATCAACAGGAGTTAAGTCCAATAAAATATAAAAAAGATGACAAGGCAAGACTGAATATGGGGACATTTACAGGTCCGTGGGAGAAGGTCCGTGGGAGAAGTAAGGGAAAGGAAAAAGGAAGAAAAAGTGGGAGAAGTAGGTATACAAAAAAAAGGAAGGCAAGGTACTACTTATTTTTAAATATTGACCAGAGCCTTGTCACTGTCCTGCTTCCATTTAACACTTCACTAGGCCTCTAGGAAGTCCAAGTAAGGAAGATATTGGCTTCATCATCTTTTCCCAGCTCTCTTTTGGAGCATTTACTTAAGATGTGCAAAATTCACCTTTGACCTCCAACCTTCTAAATTTGTACCTGTTCCTCCTCCATTTACTTCCTTGCCTTTAGTTTTGTACAAAATTGCTGACAGGTTAGTGTTAAAAGGGGAGAATGCTGGAAACAAGACAAGCTCCACAATGAAGGTCTCTGGGATATAGACTTGATGACTAAGGGGGAAGGAGGGGAGAACAAGTCACAATAAGTCTGCTCGTTGGTTGGGTGTACCAGGGAGTTGTTTTGTGAACAATTGATTCCGCATCGCTTATTCACAGGGTGACTTACTGTGGTGTGCAAGCACTGCCCATTCCTTAAAAGTTAAGCATAATCAAGCCAATATGATATTTAAAATTAACTGCTGCTATAGCATATTCCAATATTCTGCCATATCAGAATGAAACATCTAAATATACAGAAAACTAGCAATCCACTGCTGTTACAGAATTCACAAATCCATTTCTTATGTAACTAGTTACTTCTCTACCAACAGAAAAAGCTCATAGCCTGGGACTACTCAAAGCCTGCAGAGTACTTATCAACACAGAAGAGGGGCATAAGTAGACTGAAGAGTTCCTCACAGCCACTATTTACATTTCAGAATCCAAGTAGGTTAATTGTATTCACACAATTAATGTCATATCTACTTTGGCTCTCACTCATAAGAGTCCCACTGTGACATTAGAAAAAATCATCCGGTAGCATCAGTAGAGGCATGGCAAAAACAGAAAAATGTGGAGAAAGGAGTAAATTTTACAGATATCTGCAGTTTGTTGCACTCATATATTTATAGATTTATAATATTTTATATATATTGAAATACAAAAAGAAGGAAACCATAAAAGGGAATATACCAAGATAGTTAAACAGCAGGACAAAAAAACAGAAGCTCTTTCTAAATACTCTGACAACATTTAAGAGTTGGTAGTCTCTTCTTTTCATATTGGCTTTTATTAGGTGCCACCAGTTTTTTTAAAAAACACTCTATGGAAACATGCTGATGTACTATCCCCAATATCAATGCATTCTGTTTCTATAGAGTATATCCATGTATTTGAGATTCACATATGAGAAATATTCCCACTGATGGAAGTGGCATCCTGACCAACTTTCCATAACATGAAGTTCCTACTAATTTACTCTGTATACAATCTTGTATATTGCTTTGAAACCCTAACATTTGTATCAGTGGTATAAGTAATCAAATGCTTTCTTGTACATTTAAGACATCTGTTATTTCACATTATAAATAACCTAAGAAAATCTATAAAGAGTGGGTTCTTCCCGGAAATAGAACTGCATTTCCCTAGTGCTAACATCTTTTAAACAGCAATAAACATTCTGGAAAGTTTAACAAATGCTACATGATAATATATCAAAATTATTCTATATTTCTAAATGCTCACACAAATCACACACATTAAATAGAAAAACACACTCAGGACATAATCCTATGAGTGTTTAGATAGATAACAGTCCTGTAGCTCCAAACATTCTCAAGCCACCAAAGTTCCGTCTAAACATGTGATGGACTGCAATTTTAAAGCTGTAATCTTATGCACACATGCCTGGGATTAAGCGCCACTGAGAACAACAGGGCATTTATTTATTTATTTATTTATTTAAAACATTTCTATGCCGCCCCCATTGCAACAAAGCCTCAGGGCGGCTCACAAAAAATACAGAAAAACATACATAAACAATAACAATTTAAAAGAAAAACATTTAAACATTTTGAGCAGGCATGCTAGAATTGCAGTCAAAGTTACATCTAGTTTGATCCAAAAAATAGTTTCCTTTCAAAGTGTGGCTAAGAGGTACAACATTAGCTATCAAAATCAATACAACAGTTAGATAAACAACTATCACTAATGTAACTTGATTACATCTTCGGTGTTTAAACACAAATCCATGCTAACTGATGGATATAAGAATGTGTCCTCCAAACATCATCCGGAGACAATTTATAATAGCTTTTTTGAAGTGTCACAAAATCAGGTTTGTAAAGAAAACCATAAATCAAAGTGTTACGTCCTCTGCTTCTACAAGGGTTTTAAAATTAGTTATGTCAGGTGTAATGACAATCTTCATACATGCAAATATTGGGTAAATATTTTGTGGATATCTGCAGAAGACAATGACAAGATCTGTAGACATATGTCCCAATTCAAAACCACCCGGTTCCCACTCAAAAACCCCTTTATAAAAGACCCCAGAATTCTGACAGCCAGGGTGAATTAGCATGATGTGTGGAAGGAAAATATCTGTACATTTAATGACACTCCTCTAGCAGTAGCACAAGCTTATTCCATCTTCCCTCACACAGTGCTTTCCATATGTTGTTTAACTTCATTTCCTATGAGCCCCCTCTATCATAGCTAAATGTCAGGAATGCTGGAAACCATAATCCAAACACCTGGAGGACTCCAGACTGGGGAAGACTGTTTTAGATGCATGGAATAACTTATTGGTAACACTAGATGATGTTTTACCTTAAAATAGCAAAGAAATTTGTATTTGTAAAAATATTTGATCATAGGTTATGGACAACATTCAGTGGTAGTCTTGAACAGTCCTGTTGACTAAACAACCTATGGCAGACATTGTTTTTAAAAAATTCATTCTGACACATCACACTATTTGTGTCTGAGAACAGAATCCTGCTGAATGCATTTTCTATCATGATTGGACTATGGACTACAGAAAATTAAGACATTGGATAAAGACCTTTCAGGAATCCCTGACAATTGCAGGATATTTTTCTGTCTAAATATGCATAGAATCACACACTTATTCAAATATTTCTAGGCATGGAAATAAGGTTAAATAAATCTTCTTAATATGTTAATTCAAGAAATGTCAGCCAATTGTAAATGAAAATTTGGCTTTTTAAACATTATGGAAAGCATATATTCAGCAGAAGAACTGCAAGGTTATCATAATAACTAGCAGAAGTTCAGTTCATTAGTATTATTAACTTGAAGCTTTTACATTCAGGTATACACAGCCATCAAAACTTATACATATCCACTGGAAATTATAACATATAAATAACCATCTTCACTACTTCAAAGCTAGGGAAATATTAAAATTGTGTTTCAGTTCACAAATCACTTGGCAATGTTCCATTACAGAAGTGAATGTAAACAGGAACTTGGAAAATGTGTACTTGAAAAATGTGTAATTTTCTAAAACCACCCACATTTCAATCTCTGGAGGAAATCTGCACAAGTTTGGGAATTCTCTGTGCAACATTCATGCTTGAGAGCTGTTTGTTCTGCACAACTTTCCCATCTACACAAAACAAAGAGCTATTACAAATATAATAATAAATCAAGGAGAGATGTGCAGTGTATATGTAGTTCAGAGCATTTCTCCAAGCTCACATATTGCTTGTGCTCTTAACCCAAATCAACTGATCCTAAGATATAAATTGAAATATAGTGTCATATAACTACAGAAAAACTGATAAAGAACTATAGCAAAAGCAGTAAATCAAATCAATCATCCATATGGCTAGCGAAAAGGACTCCCCATTTTTTTCCAGTGGCCTCTACAAACTTCTCCATTAATCTAATACATAATACTTGAGCCTGCCTCTCTACTGCATCGACATTACATTTATTTAAAGTCATTTTATTCTGTTCTTCAGCCAGAAGGACTTCCATAGCAGCTTATCAATGATCCCTAAAACAAAGAAGCCCCTGCTTGCAGGTCCATACACTAATGTGATACCTTACACAAAAGGAAGGGGGGGGGAGTATTTCAGAAGAACTGGTAGAATGGCCCTGATTCTCACTCTCATGTACCTCAGAACAGTCCTGCTGGACTGGGGGCTGAAAGTGACTTCGAGGAAGGAGGAGCTTTCCTGGAGGTGGCCTTCAGTAGGATTGGTCCAATGGTGGTACTTTCTCCACTCGTCTCCCTCAGGACAACCTGCTGGATATAATGCCTCATTTCCCACCACAGCCTAATAATCTATTACTCCACATACAAACATTTCCAAAATGAATATAACTTTCTCCTAAGAGAGCCCAGAACTGATTAATTACAGTTACTGTAAGAAGGCAGAAATGTGCTAAAGAGTAATTAACAGCATAGCCTTCAAGAAACAATGGATTACAGTAAAAATAAAAAGTAGTTTGTGAGAAAAGACATGATAAATAGAATATTTAAGAAAGAATTTAAATCATTTTAAATATTCTAATAGGGAACTGGCAATTTTCTGTATAGGTGGAAGGTCCCTCTGCCAAAGTTTAACTTTTTTTCAGAACCAAAATTACAAGAGGTGTACAATTTATATGTTTAGTTCAAGGAATTCGTCTAGGATTGCTTCTTTATGGCAAAACAGCTATGAAACTTGGGAATTTTAAGGAATGCATTTTTTGAAGAAACTTTCCTACACAACTGCAACAAATCCTATCACCGGTTTTCACAAGCATCCAATATGGTACTGTGAGCATACCCTTCAAATTGAACTCTTTAACCACATGCATAATCACAACAATCTGCAATTGAAATCTGAGACAGTAACCCAGTTTGCATAATCAATGCAGCCCACTGTGACCTGTCCAAACCACACTGGCCTGCAACATAGACTGGGCAGTTCTGAATAGCTGAACTGCAGCTTTTTGTGTTGCCCAAACATAGATAGGGTTGGAAATATTTTAATGACGTTCCTTTACCTATGGGTAAAACAGGCATGTGTACAAATTATGAAGAAAATCATGATTTAAATCTAGTCTGACTAGTAGTTTAAATCAATTTGATTTAAATCACATCCACCCTGGAAAACAGGCAAGAAAAGGAACTATAGCATTAACTTATTCCATGTGAGCTGAATCTCTAAGATGACTGAACTCATACAGTATTACTTTAGTGATGCCGTACTACAAGTGTAGTATGAGATGAAACTCTTAACTACTTTCTCTGTTAAGTAGGCTGTTACACAAAAAAGTGACATTCTGATTAGGTTGCTATCCCTGTCATTAAACTTTAAATATCCTTGGAAAACAAACTGACCTCTGTTGCAAAAAACAAAACTCAATTAGTTCAACTAGTTCCACAAACCACTAGCATGGTGGTCAAATCAAAGAAGGATGGAGAAGAAAGTCCCCCCCTTCTGTGAGTACCCCTCAGGTAATGTTTTAGAATGTTATGGGAAGGGGCATGATTCCCACACCCAAGGGTCCTTCAAGGGCTTCTATGCCTGAATCATTCCACCCTTTTTCTGACTACTGGCCTGGCTGAAGAGGGTAATCTCATTTCTAGCTATGAACTTGCCTATGTTGCTTTTTCACTCAGCAGGCTATCTAGATCCGCCCATATCATGTGCCAGGCAGTTTCTCTTTAGTTGACTGCCTGCCCCTTCCCCCATGCATCTCATATGGTTTCCAAGCAGAATTTTCTACCACATCCTAAGGAACCCAGTTGCCTTAAAAATCTAGGTACACTTACTGAGGGAACTTTTGAGTCAAGGAGAATAACCTGACTAACTGCATTAAAACTTATCTAATACCTAGGGAGAAAATCACAATCTTAGAAAAATCTGCCTTTGCTGATAGCAGATCCTTGAATTTCACCAGAGAAAAGGAGTGGGAAATAAGTAAGTCCAACTCAAAATGTCATCAGGAACTGCACAGGGAAAAGCTGCATTCTATTTGGGGAGCTCTATGCCATACTGGGAAAGCAGCAGCAAAATGCTTTAGCCTAGCTCTTTTGTAAAGGTCATAGGGATACAAAAGCAATTATTTTCCTGAAAATTCGCTTCTGAATTAAAAGGGATTACAGAGGATAGGTTCCAACCTAGACCAGAACACAATGAGAACTATTTGAACTTTATTTTGTCATAGTGTGGTGAGAGTAATGAAAAAATGCCATTGGCCAAAGGAAATCTGATAAGTGAAAATAATAATCCATTGAGCATCACTGCTAACCTACACCACTGCCCCTTTCCTCAGTACCCACGCCCTTTCTCCCAATCACAAACTACTTGATGCTTTCCCATTCTAGGGGAAATGTCTCTTATAAGGCTTAGTCATTGGCAAAGAAACCTTTAAGTTATATGTTAGTATTTATTTGTATTTTTGGACCTAACTCTTTTGCGCACAAAGACATAAGACATAACAACATAATTATACTGCAGTAAAACAGGTTTCTACAAAGAGGTGTAGCTTATGAGGACTGGGCAGTATTAAACTAGTAGGGGCCGTGAAGGAAGTAGAACTTGTGGATTTCATTAAAGGCTCCCTATATCTCCCTCCATGATTTAACAGTTCCAAACACCCTGAAGGACTTTGGATTGACATTTTTCCAGCAACAAATCCCATAAAATATGTGCCAAACTGCTTTTGAAACTGAATGGTTTCCAAAGCCATATGCAATATGTTAAGTTTACTCCAATTCACAATTTTTACAAAATCCACAGTAGGCTTAAAATAGTTCTTTGAACCCAGGCCAAGAAATTTAATGCACTAATTCCTTCACTGGGACATTTCCAAAGAAGATCAAGCCCATAAACTGAATTTAATTAAACCTGAAATACTACACACACTTATTAGAAACTAATTCCTTTTGAATTCAGTGGGACTTAATTCCAAGTAAATATGAATGGAATCATGCAACAAGTATGTAAATTCTATTTAGAACAATGGTCTGATGTAGCACAAGTGCACTGGAATCTAGAGAAAGGATTTCTAAGCAGATAGTTTTACAGTGCAGTCCTACAGCTATGCCCATAAGCCCCAAAAGTTGGAGCCTGACAATCATCCAATGCAGAGCAGAAGAAGCAATGGTGGCACTGTTCACTAGTTGGGGTGTTTCAGAGAGTGGAAATTTAAGATAGCTCTTATTCTATCATCTACAGTTTCCTTCTCTCCCAACAAAGTCTTCTTTTCCCCTTTTTCCAAGGTCAAGTCCCCTACCTTGGAGAGCAGCCAGCACAGTTCTTTCTATGTGAGTTACAAAAGCTGTCTCCAAATTCAGGCCTGAGGATCTGTAATATCCTGTGCTTCCTAAGTAACTAACCAGCCACCATATGATTGCTCTCTTAATCACTGTAGACAGAAGTCTGTCAAGAATTCATTTGCACCTGAGTGCACAGAGGATGGTTTGCCTGATACGAGAATGCTGCACAGAACTGTAATAGCTTTTCAAATGTAGTGGAATGTTTAAATCACTTAGATACATCATTACTCCTACAATAGTCATTTTAACATAGTATCATTCCTCTAAGCTGCAAACCAATATAATCATATGCATATTTAAACTCAAAATTTTGAGCACATAGATGTTCAAGGTCATATAAAGAGGAGCATATATAAGAAATATCAGATTATAAGGAGCTTAGATAAAGATTTATGTGATCACCTTTCATGTCTCTCTCACAAAACAGAAACGCTTTCAATACAGATTTCTATTGTTGAAAATAAAGTTTGGATTTAGGACATCTCACAACAAATATCAGCATGCTGTGAAACTAATAATCCTTTCTAAGGGGATATAAATTAAGAGCTGAAACAGATCTATCACTAGGGACTGTTCAACAAAAATAATTAGATGAGTTAAGTTTCTTGTAAAGAAAGCTCACAGTTGCAGACAAATGCACATACAATTGTGGTATTTAATAACTGTGAAAAACACAATATAGATAAGAACAGTTTGATTTCAAAATCATAAATCATGAATTTGTATCCTTACAAATGCATTTTAGTACCTGAGCTACCATTTCTGGGCTCAGATATTTGTACCTAAATATGAAACTTAGTCTTACAAGATTTTTTAAAAGAGAATCCAAAATGGTTATGACAATGGTAGTATTAACTACATCTAATCATTTTACATAATGCTAAACTTATTTTTCAAAGGATCTTGCCACACATAAAACTAACATGCACTGTAAAGCAGATAATTAACAATAAGGTATAATGAAGTGCCTAAGGTTATTTAGCAAGTCATTGGAAGGGCGAAGTATAAGCCTTGGCTATTTAAGTTTATTTGCCACTAACAAACTTAGCACAATGAACATAAAGCCTACATACATACTGAAAATGATAAATAAGTGAATATCTAGGAGCTGGGGCAGGTGGAGGATCAAACACAGCTTTTGACCCATGTGGGTGCTTCACTCCTGTACAGCTTCCTGCAATTGCACCGTCCTGTTCTCACACATGAGATCCAAAGGAATGTCATCCTTTGAATTGTATTAAAGAATTGAATTGAATTAAAGAATTGTATTTACAATTCTAGCAGACTAGCAAATGTTTTCATTGAGGTCATTCCAGGTACAAGCTAATATGGAATGTTTGTGAAATTCCTAGCTTCTTTGGACTAAAAGAGATGCAAAATGTGATGGTGAAGAAAATGAAAAAATAATGTTTGATGACAGAGAAAAATGTTTGATGACAGAGAGCTTTGAATATAAAAATAGGCACTATTAATGATTCATATCACCTACTTCATCCCTTAAAAATACCTGCTTACTCAAGAGATAGATGAACAAGTCAACTAAGGAGCGAACAATTCACCTGAGGAACAAAACTTGTTCATCTTTACCATGTTATACCTAGCCAAGACAATCACTAAAATAAGTGCTGATAAAGCTTAATTTTAAAGAAATCCACTGAAAAGGTTGAACAGGGTCTCCATACTCCACAGTTATCTCAGTTGTACTCTAGACACTTGTAAGCATCTGAGAATTCAAAAGGACATTGCCATATCTGCACTTGGCACGCCTATTTCAAAAGGCACTGGAGCCAAAGAAACTTAAATATATTCATTCATTTTTTAAAAAATCTAACGATGTGCATCCTTACATTCTCCTTGGAAGAAAGCAAACTGTGCCAGAAGCTGGTATGGTCAAGCACTGAAAGAAATAACCCATATTTGTACAAAGTAATTCAGAACTATATACTACAAAGACTCCATTCTAAGAAGTAACTCACAGGCTGGCGAGAACTACGGAGCTGGTGGCACAAGAAAAAACTCAGCTATAATAAGACCAGCTTTATTTCCTCTCCTCGCATAGTTTAACTGCACTCTGACAGTTCATCACATCCACCCCCTTTGCTTTCCAATTACGGCCGCTCACTTTATCCTGACCCGATGTGAACTCCTCCGACACCACACGGATCGTCCCTCCTGCAACGGCGCTCGACCCGCAGTCATCTTCCCCACGGCCCCACACTCGCGCGCAGCCCACCCGGACCCGCGCGCCACCCGCCCTCGCTTCTTCCAGCTCTCAGCGAGCCCTGCCCCCCCCCTCCGCGCCGCTTTTCCAGCACACCCCTCCTCATGTTTCCCCTGCTTCCAGGGGCAGCTCTTCCTTCCATCCTCGGTCGCGGATGCCCCCTTCCCACATGTGGCATCTATCTTCACCCCTCGCAACCCCGCCGATAACCTGCGTCTCCTCTCCCTTTCCCGTTTTCGCGAAGAATTCCCCACCTCCCTCACGTTCCTGTTCCCATTACAGCTCCTCTCCTCAGGGAAAGTCTCCCCGCCTCGATTTGCCGAGCCCCTGCCCTCGCCGTGAAGGCGGCTGCACCCTCGCCTGCCTCCGTCCCCTCCAGCTCGCAGCACTTTCTCCCCGCCTGCCACCAGCCCCATCCCTTCTCCAGGGAGCCTCGCGAGCCGTTCCCGCTCTCCTCGCTCGCTCCCTCCCTGACGCCCCCATAGCGCACGGAGAGGCTCCCGGTCTGCCGCCGCCTTCCGCCGACTTTCATCGCCCAGCGCGCCCCTGGCTCGTTCGAGCGACCGTTGCGGGGCGAGACCAAATCTTACCGGTCCTTCGTAAGCCCCGCACGCGACACGGAGAAAGCGGTAAGCGCGACGCGCCGAAGACGACAGCCGACGACCGGAGCAGCGCGCGAGGCAACAGCTCGCTGCGGGGCGTGCGCGCGCGCCAGAGACGACGGTGGCAGCAACAGCGCGCTGCCGTGAAGAGGCGGCACGCCAATCATTGCTCCACCTCTTCGCTCAGAAAAAGCGGGATGCGGGAGGGAAGGGGGGTAGAAGGGAGGCAATGCGGCTCGTGAGGAGGAGAAAAAAAATCAATCCATGCAAAGCAGCAAGCCTTGCGCTGCGGACGGCTTTCCTCATTGGACGACTGGCTACGAAGGCTGGCAGAAAGCGCTTGATTGAGAGATCGTTCTAGCCAATGACGGAAAGAGAGCATTCAGGCCCGAACAAGGATTGGCAGTCGCTAACATCTGGAGGATAAGTATGACAGGCACCTTCCCCCACGAATGGGGACAAGACAAAAATAAATAAAAGGAGGACTATAGATAGAGGGGGCTGCATCCTGCCAATGGGCACTCTGCGGAAGCATGAGGGAGCCCTCGCGATCAGAGGCGGGGCTCGGAGCAGGGAAGCCCAATCGGTATGGAGCAACGAGGTGACAGGCAGTTGGTCTAGCCGCTGATAGCGTTGCACGGGGTGTGATGTTTCTGTTGTCAGTCGGCCAGGAGCCTATTTTCTGGCATTGCGGAGACGTTCGCTTTGTTCCTTTCTCTGTTTGGTTTGCCGGAGGTCTTAGAAAGCTGTGATGAGCCGGAACGCCAGGGGTCCGGCCTAAGGCAGCAGTTGCTGCGGGGGGCACCAGAAGCTTCACTGGTGGGTATTTAGAAACTAGCGGTGTCTTAAGGGGAGCTATTTTTTGGTGTAGGCCAATGGCTCTTTCATTTCCCCCTTCTTTTTGCAATTGGTATGTCCCAAGAGATTTCCATTCTCGGCCGCCCCTGTGCTCTGGTTGAAACTACTCCAAGGGAATGGGGGGGGGGGGAGGAAGTGGCCTCAAAGTAGTTAAGTGCGGCGACTCCAAATCCAAGCATCCACCCACCCCAGCTAGTCGCAACCTTTCGCCGTGACCTGGCGTGAAGGGAAGCTTTCCCCATGACTCTGTCTACGTGACAGGAAATCTTCAGCTGCCCGAATTATTTTATGCCAGGCTCCTATTAAAGTTCCCGGAGCGTGTCACATACACCTAGCTAAACTTAACCAGATTCCTTATGGCAACCCGGAGCTCTTCCCTGAGAGAGCATCCACTCCTGGCCCCGAAGCCTTCCTGATACAGGGGACGGACCTACTTCTTCCCCTCTTTTGCCTCAGCGTGCAGCTGTTGTGGTAGGCTGGCGCCATGGCCTGGTTCTCACGGCAGAGGTAAGCCTGTTTCTGGCCTGTGTTACTTCAGACTGCTAGTTGGGACTTGCTTAGTGATCTATACTTTCACGTACAGGTCCACCCGTATGCAGACAATATCTCTGGCTTAGACCCGAACTCGATTATGCCTCAAACAGACCACTGAAATCAGTGAGACTTAAGCTAGTTATACTCCTGATTTCATTAGGTCGACTAAGCTTGAATCTGCCTGGCAGACATTAACCTCCACCTGTAAATTGAAACTATGTAGCCAAAGAATTAGGCCCTAGCTACGTAAAGGGGAAGGTGACTAGAGTGTGTTGATTTTCCTTCTCGCACTAGATTTCTGCAGTCCGTGCATGTAGAATTATAAAACAAGCATGCATAATCAGTGGGTGTTGCATAAACAGCCTTTGCTAAGTGGTCCTTGATTAATCTGATCTTATCCAATATTTTTTGCAGAATCTTCAATGAGCAAACATTAAGTATTCCACAAGGAGGCAGACAATTATCTTTAAGTGCTCCTAGATATATCTTCTGTTCACCCTTGATGTAAATAAATCTTAGGGTTACTCAGTTCGCACTTATAGTGCTTTTTATAGTAGCAGCATAACATGACCTTTCTCACAGAGTTGACGCTTGTGAACCTTGATCTATCTTCACAATATTCATGCCATTTGAGAGCATTTAGAATGTTGCAATGTCAGATAGTTGCATTGCATTTTATCCATGTATCAGTGTAGAAATTACAACAGAAAGCAGTGCTATTATGAGATAAAAGTTCAGATGCTTTGTCATATGGCATAGTCTTGGCAGTAATATATGTGACTATTAGTTGCAATAACAAATCCTTCAGTGGAATATTTTGATATAAATAATTTCAATGACTTCATTAATTTTGTATATTCTTTTATAATGCCTGGATTTTAATGGATTGTATATCTTTTAAAAAGCTTGCTCTGTTCTCAAATCCTTTTGTTGGTGGAAGCAACTGGACAGTCTTCTGTATATCTGGTCCCTTTTGATATCGCTTGACTCTACTACAGTATCTTACAAAAATACAAGCGTGGAAAAGGGGCTGTGGAAAATTTCTCCAGCATTAAAAACAAAATGAGTTATATATGGAGTTGTCTTTCTGTGTATAATATTACATAATATATAATAAACACCCGTTTGGTTGCTGGTGGATTGGTAGAGAAACAATATTTTTTAGACTTCAGTCCTAGGCATATTTTCTTAGGAGCAAGTGGTTAGTGTAAACCTAATAATCCCAAATTATTACATCAGTAATTTAAAAATATTAACATATGGACTTCAAAATCGTAAGAGCAGAAAAACATAATGCTCTTAGGCTATAGTTTGGTTTCTCTTTTTTTAAAGTAAGTTTTCCATTATCTGTCCAACAAGGAAGACTAAAGATGTTTTTTTAAAAAAAAATGGGTTCCAGAGCTTAAGGTAAACATATTACCTAGTTCTGGGTGTAGCAGAAGACAAAACTGTAAGAAGTCATTGAATTCTCTCCTTGATCAGCCAAAAGCATTCTACACAAGTTGGTGAAATAGTTCTTTTCTACAGGGAATTTTAGATCTTTGGGACTGGGGAGGCTAGGGGTATGTAGCCAAATGCTTTCTGTCATATGCAACATTTTCTTACTATTATTAAGGATTCATGAGATGGCAGGCCACATATAAGGACGGTATTTTGGAAATTCTGCCAATTAGACAAAAAGTGAACATCAAAATATGTGTTAGGTGAATGTAAAAACCTTGCAAGAGGCATGGAACTACATGCCATAGCTTCTACCCCCAAAATGCTCTAAGTAAACATCCTCCAGAAAGCCATATAAAGTTCAATCCCACAGAACTAAAAAGCAGCAATTATTTTTTTTAACATCAATGTACAAGAGATAAAAGTATAACCTAGTCTTGCTGTCAAGAGACTGTTTTTTAAATGATGCACTTTAGAGGCCACTTTCTTTGTAAACCTAGTGGAATATTGAGTTTTTTAATGCTTTTAGATATCGTCTCTATTTTTGTTTGTTCCTGTTCCTTTTAGAGATTGTCTTTTCTGCTCTTACCAACCACCTACTAAAGCTGTTTAAATGAGAATGTCCTTGGCGCAGAGAGTGCTGCTCACATGGCTCTTCACATTACTGTTCCTGATCATGTTGGTGTTAAAACTGGATGAAAAGGCGCCCTGGAATTGGTTTCTAATATTCATCCCAGTTTGGATATTTGATACTATTCTTCTAGTTATGATCATTGTGAAGATGGCTCGTCGTTGTAAGTCTGGCTTTGATCCTCGCAATGGCTCCCCAAACCTCAAGAAGAAAGCCTGGTACCTTGCAGCAATGTTACTTAAACTGGCCTTCTGCCTTGCCCTCTGCGCAAAATTGGAACAATTTGCTGTAATGAAGCTGGCTTATGTCTTTATCCCACTTTGGGCTTTGCTCATTGGAGGGATGATAGAACTTGGGTATAACATCTTCAATCCACGAAGGGACTAATTTGTCTGTAACTGGGTTTAGCCTTTGTTTGGTCAGCATTACATTCCTGAGCACCATTAGCTTGCTATAATCTTGCTGCACCTAAAGGATCTACAATATAAGTATATGTTGATGTTCTTATGTTGTTGGACTTGACTGTTCAGCAGGTGGAGCACAGCTGTCTGGTTTCTATGTAAATAGTGTAAATAAAACATCTTCATATTTTTTATGTATTTTCTCTGTGTTTGCATTTTTATGTGTGAAGTTTTGTCAAGAGAGTTTGAGTCACCACAGGATAAAACTTGGCATTGCACAACAGCATATCAGAACTGGTGTTATTTCTGTAAAAGTTTAAGCACAGATGGACAACTTCTGTATTCTCAGAAGCCACTTTATTTTTGAAACAGTGAACTTAAAAAACATGTTTTGATACATAAATCATTTGCACAAAATCAGGTATTGCATTATAGCATGTACTAATATGAAGAAAATTAGAGCACATGCACTCAGATATAGCAAGAGTGTTGTATACAGTATTTGAAAAAGATGTTACGATAAAGTATGGACTCTTTCTTCTGAAACGTAATTTTTTTCCTCTTACAAGTAGAACTAGGTGAGGTTTTTTATGTAGCGCCTAGATTAATACCCTGAGAGAGCCAGCAGAGCCCAACCAAAATGGCTTTTGGAAGTTTATTCGTGTGAGTTACTTCCTATTCTATAGTGTTTGTACAAGAGAGTTGCTAACAATTGTTTACAATTTTCTGTAACCGGATTACACAAAACTGAAAGGTCTGTTGTGGACCAGGTCTGTGGACCAGACCAATGATGCATTGCAAGAGTGAGCAGAATTGGAGATCAAATACCAAAGAACATCACTATTTGAGTAAATCTATCTTGAAACAAAAGAACCTATTCTGTTTCAGCAGGAGAAGCAAAAGTATGCTGAGGGATATTGCTCTTTGCATTTAGGGGAACTATAAATTAACTATAAATTAAATTAGCACTGGACTGGATCCAACACAGACTAGGGGACCTCAAGCTGTCTAACAGAGTTTCTTGGGTATTCCCCAACTACATTCTCCTGTGCCCCTCAAAAAGCTGCTCCCAAGGTCAGGCCATGGTCTACCTTGTATTGTGCTATACCATGACAGGAAAATCGGGACCATTGGTGCTAGACATCTCTTGATCCAAGCCATTGTATTTAAGGATCAACATTCATTATTTAATGCCCTTTTGCTGTCCAAACTGAAATTATACAATACATCCAATTTGGTTTTTTGAAAGTTGTTACAAAGCATAAGTATAAGCCAGTTCTTTTTCTTAAGCTTTGAGAAGGGTGTGTGCGTGCGCGCCTGTGAAGAATATAGATGAACCTACTTCTGGAAAGTGTTTGAGTTCTGAGTTCATGTTTTTACAAGGAGTAGGTAAGACACTTGTAAAATGTGGCTACTACTGTAGAATGTAATTCTTCACTTTTATTATTAGACTAGTAAAATATTGCTTCATAATTTAGTACTAGAAGGATAGAAGAAATGTATGTTGCTGTTCTGTCTTTTAAAGGAAGGTGATATATATCTGCTTTACAGAAGGAGATACAGTAAACTATAGTGTAATTTTTTGTTGCAGCAATTCTAATTATACCCCAAAGTATACTTTAAATTAGTTAATGGGCAAACATTCTGAACCAATCTTAAGTTACACTAATCCTAGACCATGTTTATTGGTTTCCAGGTAGTTTCAGTAAACAATGAAGATCCTGGTTATGATCTAAAAAACTCTAAAGCTTGGGACCAGGATATCTGAAGCATCACCTTGTTCAATATGAGTCTCCCTGTAATCTCAGCTCATTAATGGGGCTCTGCTAAATTGCCCATAACCTAGAAAGGCTAGGTTGATGTGGATAAGTGGCCACATCATGATTGTGGAATACTCTGCTGAGGGTAGAGAGAGAAGTTCCATCTTTACTTTGCTTCAGATGAATAATAAAGTCTTGTGTTCCATCAGATGTTTAATTCTTGCTTTTATCCATTTTAATTTTAATACAGTTCTTAATTATTCTGTGCTATGATTTTTTGGTCCCATGTTTCTTATTTCTATCATTTTACACCTGTAACCTGGTAGCCATGCCACCATAGCATAGTTTTCTTCCTCCCCCCCACCCTAATTCATCATTACCTCCTTGCTCCAATTGGAGCTCCTCCTCTTCTCCAGCTGCTCCCCTCCTCTTTACTCTTGCTACCACATGCCTCCCCCCATTCCCTGTCAGGCTTTGGGGGGTCCTTAAAGCAATGCATTCTGGGCCAGACAGCCCTGGAGATTGCCAGTGCTTTGACAACATGGGCAATCTTCATAGCTACCTCACTCAGAATTCTTTGCTTTAAGGAAAGAACCCTCAAAGCACAACATCTTGGCTCATCTGGATTTATCTGATCTCTCTCTCTGGGAGGTTCCTCAAAGTGACGGTGAAATGGACTTGCTCTTTCAACTGAACAAGCTTGGCAAGCGGCTGGAGCACTGCTGCCATTTGGAGGAACACTTTTAGCAGCCATAGAATTTAGTATGCAAGCTGACCACTTCCAATTAGGATTTTTGCTAAATTTAAGAATTCAGTGTTTAGTCAAGAGTTGCTCAATGACTTGCTACATAAAGAAGAAAAGAATCATAGCCTTGATGTGCTTTCTGTTGAAAAGCAGTTTAACGTTGACAGAGAATTTAAATCCTGGATAGAGAACAAACATGCCACCTTCTAGTGGACAGCAGTGATCTGCTTCTCAACAGCTAAGGAGACATCAATAGATATATGAGACATTAAGCAAGCCCTGAACAAATTCAACTTGAACTAAGGCAACAATTCATTTAATAGACATATTAACAGTTACTCAATTCATAAAAACTTGACTGAACAAAGTGTCCTGAAACAGGCCAAATACTAACCTATAAACCAGCCAAGATGCATATTATAATGGCAATAAATGCATAATACGGCTCCAAAATGCACCAATAGCAGTTTTGCTCTTCTGTGCATAAGTGTTCTTAAGGGCAGCATAAGCCACCTCCCTAACATTTCCAGACCTCTGCTGTTGGATGCATGCTGTGTCATGTCCTCTTCCAAGGAGAACCAGGAGCTTCTTGAGCCCTAATGGAGTGGCACACCCATTGTGAAAGATCTTGAGGTAAGTGTGAGAAAGGTTGGGGGAGAGAAGCAGATGGAGTTCCCAATGCAGTCCTCACAAAAGTCTTCAGTGGATATATTTTTAAGGTAAAAAAATCTTGAAAACATCAGAGCACTAGGTTCTCTTTCCTATTCCTGAACTGGCTGATTAGTTGCTTGATGGGCAGAAAAGGAAGGAAAAAGTTGCTTCTCACTTCTGCCCTGTGTTCTGCCTACACACCCCTTTCTGCTTTGCTCTTTTGCTCACTCTTCACATCAGGCCTCTTGTTATTTCTCTCCTTTCCCAGCCACCTCCTTTCTCTCCTATTCCCTCAGTCCAGGCTCTCTCTGACTCTGTCCGCCTCTTTCTATCCACTCGGCCTTGCCCTTTCTCCCCTTTCTAGCTGCCAGCCTGGCTCTTTCTCTCACTATTCCCCTCTCTCCCTCCCTCTCAGTACCCAGCCTTGTTTGCTTTTTCTCCCTTTCACCCCCTTTTCTTCCTTCACCCAGAGGTGGGGGGTCACCACTGGGCTGTGACACGAAATCCCTACTTTGGTGCACCGGATCTCTGCATGGCCCCAGCAGCCCTACAGAAAGCGTGTTCGGAGTCCTGCCCCCCCCCCCCCCGGCCCCACTCCCATTCTCTTCCCGCAACCATCATGCACTTTTTATCTCCAATCTCTGACACACAGCCATCATGTTGGTTGCCCTTTTCCTTCAGTCTCATGTCTGTGCCAAGCATCCAGGCACAGATCACCTTCAGGGGTTCGGCCAAAGTGTGTGGGTGGGGAGCGATTCCCCATAGAACCCAATGAAACGGGTGAGGCCGCTCTCTCTGCAGGGCGGAAGAAGGCGCGCTTCCAAAGCTTTTCAGTGATGCTGCTGCTGCTGCTGCTGGATGCAATGAACAGCGGTTGCGTAGCAACCAAGTCAGGTGACCTGTAGTGGGCCAATCAAAACCATTTCTTGATAAGTGCCCTTTCTGCAGCAGCGACACAAGAGGATGCAAAGCCGACCCTGAGAACGAGCAGGAGCTTCGAAAGTTTTTGTTGGGATTTCCCGCCCCCAACAGCTCTTTTTTCCTCCTCAGGAGAAGGGTGGAAGAGCGAACCAGCAGGGGCTTTCCCGGAGGATCCAGTCAACCAGGATACACAGTGGGGGCTGCTTTGGCAAAGGGATTGCTATGAGCTTTGTAGGCTGTGTGATTTGAACAAGGATTTAACTTAACCAATTTGTCCCCCTGTGGCCTCTATGCCTTCTCCCACAGATGCCATATTTTAGACAGTGGATTTTTTTCTTTTTACCTTGTTTCAAACAAGATCTGGAAGCCGTGGGTCTTTCTTAAAATCGGAGAGAGATGTGGTGCTTACAGTGTTGTGTGGAAGTAGTATTTTTTCAGAGCAAAATATTGCAGTGCCTTGGGAAATTTTTATCAGGCCTGTTTGTGCTTCTTACTCCTAAACCCACTGCTGTATCTTTCTTACAAAAGCAATACTCCTAAACTACAATCATATCTTGCTCAAAAAAATTAAAACAATGACTTAGGTGGGTCTGAGCTTGCAGGAAAATTGCTCTGGATTTTTTGCCTTTAAAAAATATCACTTGGTTTATCAATGCATAGAGTAAAAGCAATGGATGTCCACTTCTTTTGTGTAGGACAATTATATTACTGGCTCCTTCACCTGTTTCTCATGGCCCATCCTCTGCCTAACCTTGAACCAGAGATCATTTAGGTATCTAACACTAAATCCTGCTTCCTGACCTTGCTTTGTCTTGCCCTCTTCAGCCTTTTCTCTTGGTCTTCTTCCACACAGAATACCTTCATCTATGAGAGCTCTGATGGCAGAAGAAACTTTGGGGATCGGAAAGTATGGGAAGGCTTTTAACTTTCCTTTGAGGTATGGGAAAGGGATGTGTATTTTTCAGGAACAGAGCAATCCTATGTAGGCCTACTCAGAAGTAAATCTTACTGCATTTCATATAACTACATCTATAACATTAAATATGCATTTTGTTGCATTTATGTGGGATCAAATATGCTGGATGTTGTGCAAAGCCAGAAGTAGCCACATACTACTGTTCCCACCAATGACAAAGTTGTCTTCTCCATGTTTCTCTCAGCACAGGGAAACTAAAATACTTAGGGGGCGGGCAATTATGTTAGGTGGGTGTGGCTACACCTGATGTTATCCAACCACCAAAAGCCTGGAGGGAGGGGGCAATCTAGCCTCCCACTCAAGTATTCTGCACCTCAGTATCTCATATCAGAGGCAATACACTTCAGATGCCAGTCACTGGGAACATAAGTATGAGGGATGCTCTTAAGCTCATGTCCCATTTATGTGCTTCCAGCAAGCAGCTGGTTGGTCAGTGTGTGAACCAAATATTAGATTCAATACACCTCAATACACTTTAGCATGGTTCTTCTTAGGTTCTTTATAGCTCTGTAAGAGCAGAAAACATAATCTGTATCAGCATCATTTTTTATCCAATCCACAGTATTATTTTCTACTGTATACATGTTTATTCAGCTGCGTCCCTGCCTAGAGAATGACTGCCTAGCAACAGTGACACACGCGTTGGTAACTTCCCGACTAGACTTCTGCAATGCGCTCTACGTGGGGCTGCCCTTGAAGACGGTCCGGATACTTCAATTGGTGCAAAATAGAGCTGCCAGGCTGCTGACGAGGACTGGGCATTATGTTCACATGACTCCAGTCCTCCGTCAGCTTCACTGGCTCCCCATTGAAGTCCGGGCCCAATTCAAGGTGTTGGTTATCACCTATAAAGCCCTTAATGGCTTGGGTCCTGGCTACCTAAAGGAGCACTTACGTCCATACGTGCCCTCCCACTCCTTGAGATCTGCGGGAGAGGCCCTTCTCCGGGAACCCTCCGTGAAGGATATTAGGAGGGCAAGTACCCGGAGGAAGGCTTTCTCTGTGGTGGCGCCCAATCTATGGAATGCGCTCCCCAGAGAGGTCCGCCTGGCGCCGTCATTATTTGTTTTTCGGCACCAGGCCAAGACCTTTTTATTTAAACGACATTTTAACTGTTAGCTTTATTTAGTGATTTTATATCTTCAGCCAGGACTTCTCCAATTATATTGTTTTTATATGTTTAATATGTATTTATTTATTGTTGTGAGCCGCCCCAAGGCTTCGACGAATGGGGCGGCATAGAAGCTTACTAAATAAATAAATTTGTTGTGAGCCACCTTTGGCATTGTCTCTACAACCACAGCCCTGCAACAGAAGGGCTACTAGGTGTAAAGTGAATCCTAAAATGTAAATGTTAGCATTTTACTGCAAATACACACTAGGATTCAAAAAAACAGACTTAGTATGCACAGGACACTTGCTCCTCCTTCCCCTCCCTCCCTGCTTGTAAGCGCCTGCCCCTGTTCACTCATTCTTCCTTTACTTGAGGGACAGTGGATGAGCAAGACATAAATGATCAGGAGATGTGAAGCTGCTGTGTTCCTTTATGTCATCACAGATCTCTTTATCAAGGAAGGCAGCCAGCTGTGTCAAGAACCTCGTGCAAGTCTCACAGATCCAAAGTAAAAACATTATTCATCCCAAAATAAACAGAGAATTGCAGAAGTCTGACAGAACTGTAAACTTAAATACATTTTTTAAGAAAAGGAAGATAAAATAGCCCATGATAATAGCCTTAAGTAGCAATAAAATGTTGGACTGAACTAAAAAATCTAATAAAACAAATTTGCACAGAAGAAAACACAGTAGATTAAGTTACAGCATTGCTATTTTATTTGCTTTGATGGTGTACCAGCTAGCTGTACCAATAGATGTCCCTTTGTCCAGTAACACTAAAGATGTGCACTTGAAAGCAGTGGGAAAAAAAAACCTTTAATGTTCCTATTAGCAAGAACTGGTCACTGAGTTAGGACCTCTCCTCAAGATGTATTAGTATCCATGCCTCTATCTTATCCCAGAACACAGATACCAGTCTCACTTTCTGAAAAACTTACACAAGAACTTGCTTTGAAAGTTCAGTCTTAACGCATGTGTACTCAGAAGCAAATCCCATTGCATTAACTGGTACTTACTCCTACATAAGGGTGCATCTGCTTACTACTTGAATTTTATTTAAAACTGCGTATCAGTGCTACTAGCTATCAAACTAATTGTCAAGTGTCTTGTTGCAAATATAAACCCAAGCTGAAAGCTTCTACTTAAGTATTTTTGTCTGGAAAGTTGTCTAGGGCCAGAAGTAGCTTATAAAATATTTTTAAATGTCAGGTTCTGAGCTGATGCAATATTAACATTTATAGGAAGTAGCAAAATCACTGAAACACAATAGAGGGCTTTACGTTTACTGGATGATGTTGATTCTTCATAAAACAAAGAAAAAAAACCAGGACTGCCAACTTTAAGAGTTCCGATGTACTAAAGGAATATGTGCAAATTCTAAGAACTCCCACTTGAAGCAAAGTGAAGAGTTTTTGATTTGAAAAGGCATACAGGATAGAATGCCAGCTGTGTGTTTGGTGGTGGTGTGGGGGGATGGTTGGAAATACAAGTTGAAGGAAAGCAAGCTAAAGAGATTAAAACTATTTTCCACCTGAGATCTTAGGGTTAGGATGAAGGGAGAGGGTAGGATCAGGGGGCACCAACTAGCAGGTCTGTTTTTCCAATTAACCTGCAAATATGTTGTGTAGTGCTTCTAGGAGTGTACCACTTCATAACAGGGATGAAAACTGTATGATTCAGTGCTCTATTTCAAGAACTCCCTGCACACAGAAAATAAGGTTTTCAGGAGAAGACTCAACTCTTTTCAACTCAACAGCTTTCCTTGGAGAACATTCAACATCTCCTCAGTGTCAATCACTTCCCCACCTTCATTGTGAGGTGGTACAATCCTTGGAAGACAGTAGTACAGAGGATCACAGGAAGCTATATTATAGTAAGACAAGCCATGGTTCATTAGTATACACATTTCGGCAATCGTATTCTAGTGTTTTAGGGAAAGAAGTCTTTCCCAACCTTACCTGACAGTGGCAGGGATTGAAGATAGGGCCTTTTACAAGCAAAGCATTTGCTCTGTCATCGAGCTACAGCTTTTCCCATTTCTTCAAAGTATGCAGAGAAGCCTACATTTTAGTTCATATTGTTTATATACTTCTAAAATGGAAAGGGCAGTATGGCAGGCTCTATGTATTTGTTTGCAGAATCTAAACCATCACAATTAACACAATCATCGACACAATCATTAACTACATTATGATGATGTAGCTAACCATTGCACTTGTCATCTCTTTTTATATATCTTTAAAGGTTTGGAATGTCCAGCAGCCTGTGGTCCAACTTTCCCATCTGCTGGTCAAACTTTACAAGACAGCATCTATTAAAGAAGCTATCTCAAAAATGCATTAAATGTTGAGCTCTGCAACAGCACCCTTACCCTCGTTTCTCTAGTACAAAATGATTCTGAACTGCATTCAGTTACGGGGACTTCCAGCAATAAGTATACATAAGTGCTTAAAAATTCATAGTGATGATTTGTTATCAGATTTTCTATTATTCCACTTCAAAATCCAAAGAACATGTTTCTGGCAATGCTTTTAACCTTTATCATTGTGAAATGAATCCTGAAATATACATGTAGTTATTAACTCAAGGCTAAAAATATCTAATCTGACTGGATTCTTCCAAAAGTCAGGTCATGTTCCAGATGCCATCCATTCTTGGAAACCTATCTCTGCATGACTGGGGTCTGCTTCATTTTCCAGATTTTTTCAGGTTGCAAAAGAAGGCTTCAAAAACTACATTTAGTGATTACAAGCACCACCGTACAGGACACCAAAGCACTTTAAGCTGATTTTTTGCTGATTTTTAGAAACTTTTCCAAATAATGTGTTAGTCTTGCTCTACTTAGGGGAATAAGGAAGTAGGCAGAGGAAAGGCAGTGTATACTTCACAAACCTCAATCCTCTTAAAGTTAGTTATTACAAAGTTCCACATGAAGGAATAGGACTTACTGAGTCACACCATGGCACTGGCTTTAAGTTGGATTTACTCAAAGCTATCTTAAGATGGATTGGGCCCCTCAGATTTAGCACAACATTTAAGGCAATCTATTTTCAAACAAATTAAAACTGACAATTGTTTGTGTCTGAAACTTATCACATTAAAGATTTATAAACAGTAAGTGAGTAAAAGATGAAAGGGCAAGAGAGGTTCATTGCATGTTTAACCACCACATGAAATACCTCCAAATTCATCTCTGAAGTGAGATTTTGTGAAAATTCAACAAAAAGACTGTATCTAACTTAAATGCATTTGGTTCCCTCATAAGAATATTCACTTTTTTTGCAAGACTGAACATTTAAAAATAGCTTAAAGGGTTTTGACTTTTCTGTTTTGGGACCCAAAAATAAAACCCATTATTGTTATTATGAACCTTTATTAAGTGGCTCACATTTCAATATAAATCACACTAAAAAGATTTCTTTTAAAAAAGCTATTTACACTACAGTGCTGACACATTAAAAAGAAAAAAATTGGTATAAATAAGCTCTATGGAAAAGCCTGGAATTGTCAAAAAGAATTCTGGCTTATCTTACAAAAAATATATGTTAAATGTCAGCTCTATTCTAAAACCTACAACTCATATTTAAAGACTTCTTATGTTACACCTGCAGTGTTTACAGTGCATCTGGCCCTAAGTGCTTTGATACTTTCACAGTTATGGACAGGCACTGAGGAATGTTACAAAGCTACATAAGCTATCTTCTGTAACAGATGTGATGACAAGTAACAAACTTGCCTCACAGAATTTAAGCATTTTTACATTATTATTTCATTATGTTTAAAAAGGAATTTAAAAACATATGTACAACAGCTTCAACACGAAAAGTCATCTTGTTTGCCATGCAGACGTGGATATGCTGAACTGCTTTGTCTTGTATCTTCCAGATTCACATGATGACCTGGGCACAAGTTGTCCTGTAAGTCTTTGTCATTGGGTTCAAATTTGGAGTCCATTTCAAATTTAGGCCCTGTCAGCTGACCATGATCCAGGTTTGCTTTAATATTTTGACATTCTGTAGCACTGGGTACTATAGTCTTTTCAGGAAGAGTATCAGTAATAGGTTCTTCTTTACTTCGGAGAGGTGCAGCAGGATCATGCTGTGTGCGTGAAAGTTCCTGTTTTATATATTTAGTTTGCAAATTGCCTAAAAATTTGGTGTCCTCAGAGGCATGTATGTTTGCTGCATGGGTTACATTGTCAGTCTGAAGTCCTATAACAGAAGATATAGGATCTGTTGGTGGGCCTTTTTCATAGATGCTTTGATTCTCCCCTTCTGAGTGATAAAGCTTCAGCCGAACATGCCAAGCTAAACTGCACACAGCTGAAACTGTCTTGAATTGATGTACAACATTCCTTGGAATAAAATAAATATCATTATCATACAACTGAATTCTGGCATATCGAATGCCTTCCCTTCGTAATTGGTTAAGTTTTGCATCATCAACCCACTGGACACACTAAAAAGAAAAAGAAAGAAAATTAATAATGTCTTCCCATCAAAACAATTCTCACTCAAAGACTGCCAGTCTATCAAAGCAGTTACCTGTGAAAGTGGAGGTTCATGCAGGTCTAGTTGCATTCGTTGAACTACCTCTAAGAAATCTTCTGCATGAAAGCAAATTACATCTTTGGTTATACGAGGTTGTTCAGGCCTATACAAGAAAATTAGACTTATTATTAAAACAAATTATTGTGTTTTACATATTTGTAAATACAAATTAAAGCACTGAAAATACAAATGGTTATTTTTTACTTTGTAGGACTTTCATGTGGAGTTCTAAGAGTTACACACACACACACACACACACACACACACACATATATGTATGTATTTCTTTACATCTAGTAACAGCACATACCAGCAGCCAACAGCTCTTCAGTTAAATCTGCTACTCACACTTCCTTGTATAAACCACCTATTTTGATTGGTTCTTCAAACCAAAATTCCTAGTAAGCATAACCAGTATTAATTAAAGATACCCTATGTTCTAGTTAAAGAAAAACTGACAGATCCAATCTGAGCAAGCTGAAGAAAAGTCTTAATATTTTCTATGTACCATGTTACAATTAATTACTACTGTGAAGTGGTCAATACAACTGCTACAGTTAAAAAAAGGATATTCCAGTCATTAAAAAGTAGCAAAAGCAATGGCTACACCAAGCTTATTAGGGGGAAAATGTATTCTTTGTGAACTGCCCCAAGGCTTTGCTGCGATCTGGACTTGTCCAATCCTGAATGTTTTACTGCCCTCCATTTGAATACTGACCATACGAAACACCAACACTCATCTTTACTTCAAAAACAGTACACAACTAATTGGCTCTCACTATGATTCATTGCCAAGATCCATATTTAACTTTTAAACATCATGTACAAAGTATAGTCCCAGCACGGGCCTACAGCTGACCATATATATATTCAATACAGTACAAATATTTGAAATCTAGGTTATACATGTAGCAAAGTGATTCAAATATTTACATTTATTCTCACAGGACCATGCTCAGTAAAAGAGTAACCATAATTTCTGCTCCAATGTTTCAGATTAACCACTGAGTTGTACTAAGTGGGAAAATATGCTACCTTAAAGGTAAAGGATATTGCAAGGAAAGCAGGACTGGAGTGGCAGTTCATCATGGACCTAGTTTTTATAAATAGGAAATTCTTCTTTGCATTCTGGTTGTTTTGACAGTTGAAGTATTTTACTATTTATAATATTTGGGACACATGCACAAGCTGTGAATTAAGATACAAGGCATCTCTCTCTCTCTCTCTCTCTCTCTTTCTCTGTGTGTGTGTGTGTGTGTGTGTGTGTAGGATTTCACAATTCAGATAATACTGTGAGGTGTGCCATCAATTCCCAATGTGTCAGTTAGAAGACAGAGCCTTAAACAGGCTTCTGGCAGATACTGGTGGGGGTGGGGCAGGAAAAATGGGCTAGCTGACCCAGCTTTGTAAATATGCCCACCAAATGTCTTATCAACCTCACAGGGGCTGACAACCGGGAGAGAAGAAAACTGCATGTCTATACTAGACTCCTCCTCTAGCAGCCTGCTTGGTTCCTAAAAAAATCTGCTTGGAAAATACAAGGCTAGTCTAACTGGTGATATGATCAAATCCTTCATGCAGTCTGGAAACTGCAATGGGCTCATTTCAGAGGACTCTTATTTTTTTGAGATACCTAAGGTACACAATCTCTGTCCTTCCATCTTTCTAAATGCTAATTAATACTTTTAAACCTAATTGTAATGCACTTACTTTCACACACTAGAATCTCCCTGGCGTCTATGTTTCACTATGCTGTAAACTTGTTATTTATGCTATTTTATCACTGTTTTCAACCATGGTGTGCATTTTCATGAAAAGCTGGGCTATAAATGCTTTAAAATAAATGAAATAAATAATCTCTTGTCAAACAGGTTCCTTTACATAAGTATGGTCACATGATTAAAAAATGACTCATGCATAAATCCTTCCTGCTGTCTTTCTTCTTTCCCAGTTTTGCTAGTGCCTTCTTATTTAATTTATACTTAAACACAAAATTCATGATGATGCCTGGATTATAAACTCTGCTGTTTCATCCAGTCTGTAAATAAAAATCACTGGCCTGTAGTGAGAAAAATGTCTTTAAATGCAAGTTTTCCCTAATATGATTTATCTATACACATTCACATATTATGATTAAAACTGTTTAGGGAAACCATTCAGAAAAATAGCACACTGATGACACAGAACATTTGTGCAACAATCATGTTAAGCACTCCCTGTTTGTGGATTCCCAGAATGAAAACCTAGCAGATTACAGCTATACTATTCAGCATACTAAAACACTCCTTTTTGGGTTAGCACCATTTTAATTAAGTATTCTTAATCTGTGTGTGATGTTTTATGGTTGGTACGTCTTGGAAAGTCTGGGGTATCATGCTTCATTTTCTCATGCATGCCTAATTAAACAGCAACTCATTTCACATACACCACAGAATAGTCACATAAATCTTGGCACTGTCTTCACTTACTTGGGTCTTCCTCAATGCTTTAGTGTCCAGATCCTGCAAAACAATCTACACTACAAATTGCAGTGTTTTAGTTCCCTGTCCCAGCAACTACAGTTGAAAGTTTATGGCCTATTTATAAAACTGTGTTACCAGTCTCTAATTCACCAAAATTATGTTAAAGCTACCAAACTCTTTCATACTCCCCTCCCCTCTAGTATTCCATAGCTATAAACTGTGAAGAGAAAAAGCCTGTATTTCCTTTTAAATCCTGCCTGGCCACAGCTGCTGTCCTTCGCAAGGAGTTCAACCCAGCTACTGGCAGGTAGACAAAAGCTCACAGCTGTCACAATATTTTCTTAGCATTTCATTTGCATTTTGAATTTTTTATTGAACTACGATGAGAACTGAGTTAGAATTTAGTTAGGTTCCAATGAAAACCTCAGCAAGTGGAAATAATCTTCCTGAACATAATTTAAAAATAGATTAGTCTAAGAGTTCAACATCAAAGGAAATCATACTTCATGTTAGAAATCCTTCCTGTTTCCACTCTGCTCAACAGAATTAAATATGACTGTTCTCCCAGATCAGTATCACACCACTCCCTACTGTCCCACCATTCCTCAATTTATGCAAATATTTTTCAGATATTTACTCCTGAGTGAATAGGCCAATACATACCACTCGCCACAGTGCACTGCCTTTAATACTCCTACAGCAGCTGTAGTCTGTCGTTCAAATCCTTGTCCTATGTGATCTGCATGGGCTCGTGTTCTGTCTTCAAACAGCATTTCACGAGGCTCACTAGTACGAGGTAGGTACTGCAGGTTTTTTATTTCATTGGTAGTTCTGTGAAAGTTGGGGGTAACAAGAACACGATGAAATCAAATTTATATTTAAAGTATAATTTCTTTGATATGCATTTTCATTAATAAATGCATTTATGGACTTATTGCAGTTCTATATTACAGAGGAGTTCATAATGAAAAAGGATTTAATTATACAGATGACAAAGTAATGCTCTCCCATAAAAAGCATGCAAGTATGGATTTTTTTATGCCATTAAAAAAAGCAAGTCATCACACATTCACATTTCTTAGTTCATTGTGTTATGTTTACATTTATTCTAATAATGGCCATTAGAAGCCTATGCTTATGTCCTTCAGGGAGAGGTCAGAAGGAGAAGAGCAACAGCCATCTGAAAAAGAACTGCAACATGAATGCTTATAGTTAAATAACAGAATATATATATACATACATACACACACACACACACATATATATACATATGACCTAACTATAACTTCAAGTAAATTCATGAATTCAGTCTCTACAACAATGTCAGTACATGAACATTAAAAGAGGATTATCAAACATTATGTTAACAACCATGGCCATATTTCAAGACAAAGGACAAAATCAAAGGCATTTATAGATATGCGTATCTCCTCTCAAATTCAGCAAATGTATAACCATTGAAATCACAGATTCGTCCTAAAGATTGTCAGACCATGTTCACAGGAATAACAAGCAGCATTCTTTGAGACCTCCCTGCTGCAGTGTCATGAAATATTCATGAATATTCAAACTGTGCAGACATTAAACTATCATCACAACAGAACTGGGGTAGAAAAGGCTATGAACTGTTGATACAAAAACACTCCAGAGAAGTATGGTGGCAACTCTAATGAGCTGATGATTATAAGGCTGGGAAAAGGTAGATGAGCCTATCAATCATTTCAGATTCCTTTGAGATAGACACTCCTTCCCCACCATAAATCACAACCTCCCCCTTATTTTACAGAGAAGGCTGAAGTAGAACAGATGTTTCATTCTCATCTTTTACAGGGTAATAGCTAAGCTCCACCACCTTGTTATAAAGCAATCTGCCTTTCACAGAGCAGTGTACTATACTTAGATGGGGCACAAGTAAATGTTTAAACATAAAACACTGCTAACATACCTGTAATTTTAGAAAAACTATTTTGATAGTAGCCCTTTCTAAATATGAATCTTGTTAAATTCCTCATACTATCTTGCATTCAAATGCATGTTTTCTTTCACATATGATCATTCATATACCATGTGAACCCATCAGAGCATCAGAGAGACATTTTCTCTCATAAAGGGACATAAAGAGAGCATTGGAGAGACATTTTCAGCAATGGTGCACCATGTGTGTTATTCTATGCCTCTGTTGCACACACTCAAAAAAACAAATCCCCACTCCTGCTGCTTATGTCCCACACATCTTTTGTGTTTACATTCTTTCATATTTACCCTTCTCACAATTCATACCCTCACAAGAAAAGAAAAAGTAGTAACAGACACTGACAGTGAACCTGCTGCAAATACTCAAGTTTCCCCACCTTTCTGCAAGCAGTCTTCCCTTTCTACGCGTATTTTTGTTTTTACACTGTAAGTTTCCCTGAAAACATGTCTAGATGGCAGTATATAAAAATAAGTATAATAAATGAATAAATAAGTGGGAATAAGCTTCTTGCTTTTCCAAGTACCTGATGTGGTGTACATCAGATATTATTAATATTGGCTGAATTAGAGACACACCAATCCAGTCAGTATTTCACTATAAAAGCCAATCAGTAATATGCTCTGATGAGGCTTATAGTAAACATCCATCCATAATATACCTGACCAAATGAAGACTCTGTTGATCCCTAATGACGGAACAATTACAAAGGCATTTTTAAATGCAATGGGGAAATGCAAGAGAGATCAGCACAAAAACCTTAATGTGCTACCTTAAAGACCACTTTCTTCCACATGAATCACTAAGAATTAACATTATTATAAGCTCTTTTTTAAAGTGACTGGAGATGGGGGCCTTTGGCTGTGATGCCCCAACTTTTCAATCCTATCCTCAGAGTCTTAGAGTAAAATGCCTTTTTGGTATCTGTGATGTTCTTTTTATTTATCCAAATTGTTCATTGGTTTATGATGGGATTCTGGGCTGTTACACTGGCTTAAACTTTTCATATGTTTACTGATTTTGTTGTTGCATTCATTACATTTCTGTACCACCCTCCAGAGAGCTTCAGTTAATGGGTAATATAAAAATGTAATAAATAAATAACTAAATGTATTAAATCACATACCTTTTCCTTTTGAAAGGTGACTTTGGCATGTCTGCCACAGGGATCATCTGTTCTCCTGGACGCACCCACATGATTGGGCCATCATCACTGTCCTTTCGACTCTCCAGTTTCAGACTAGAAAGTGTCCCCCATGGCAAAGTACACTAAGAAGAAATAGTCCTTTTTTAAACCTGCAAGTTCTTTAGATATGTCAGTTACCTCAAAAATTGAAACATCTTCCTCTTAAAATTTCAAAATAGTGTGTATCTAACTTTTGTGAAACAAAGATGGGCAATTTCATTAGGACATAGGCAGCCAGAGTTCTACTTGTACATTATTAACGTTAAATTCATGGACAACCCAATAGGAACTCAAAGATGCCCATTTCTACTAGCGAATTACTACAGTCTAGCCAATTATGCTTCAGCCTAAGAGTGCTTTCACTATTCCTTGGAAACATGCACTGCAGCTTTAATTTGAAATTAACAGCCTCAAACATAAAGAAGACTGAAGTATAAATGTAAAATACAAGCTGAAGTAATATGTTTACTTGTCTTCTTGTTCCTGGTAATTTACCAGTTTCTGGCCATCATGAGATTCTGGAACTAATTTCTGCAACCATATAAGATGTTGTATGGAATGTATTTCTTCCCAGTTCCCTTTCCTTCTTACTTTTAAGAAAGGTGAATCTTCCAACATATCAAGGAACTCTGGAAAGTAGTCCCCCACTTCCTCATCAACTGCTCCAACCAAGCTGATTTGTCTCATTGGGCCAGCTCTATATGTACCATGGGAATACGTTCTTTTTACCTGAAAGCAAGCCATATAAAAGTACACAACTGTCAGTTATTTTATTTTCAGAATTATTTACAAAACAATGTACATTTACAGAAATATGCTACTTTTTTCTGAAACACATTGGTAATTAAATTAAAATTCTTCAAAGTACAATAAACATGGAAAATCTGAAATTATGAACAGATGGTCTGTAGCAAGTGTAATGCTAGTTTACCATTTCAATGCATACTTTAAAAAGTAGCAGATATGAAGACATGGTTGCACAGAAAACTAAAACAAATATCTTATATGTATAAAATTGTATTTAGAGATGTTGCAATTCAGCTGAAAGAGAAAATGGAAAATATATTTGACCGTCAATTCTCTTCAGGTAATGGAAGCAAAGGGATTAAGTATTTCCTCTTATGAGCAAAATTACTCACAGAAAGACAAGTGTTCTATTCATACCACACAGTACTTTGTCTTATTTGAAATGCTAATCTGGTTAATATCTTCTAGACTATCAAGAAATTCGATTACAAGACTAGAGAGGGTTGGAACCAGCAATTTAAAAAATTAATTTATATAAACTAAAACATCATCCTTTTTCTGTTAGGAACAAAAGGCAGTACATGTGATTTTGCAAACTACTATGTATATTTCTAGGCTGTGTATTAAACTATAAGATCATATTGCTACTATCTTGAGAAAAGCTGAGCATATGCAAGGCTACCGAAACAATACTTTATCTCAATTTACTAGAAGATACTATCACATCTCCTGCTTTGTCCAATGAATGACCTGGGATGTTTACACATTTCCTATCTACTGAAATAAAATCACAACTCAGTCAACAGCACTTATCTTTGAATTTACCTGTACTCAAGGATGGCCCTATATTTAAGCATAAAAGAACTGGGCTATATTTATGTAAAGTCTGTTTTAAATGAATCAGAAAATCCTACATGCCCAATTTTTAAAACAGCCTTAGGGACAAGTTTATAAGCATGTCTCTTTGTTATTTCCTCCTTTTGATTATCTCATAACCAGCTTTCCTACACCCAACAATCATCTATTATATTCCAAACAGGCAAAATGCCTCTCTAAATGTTGGGCATCAGAATAATACACTGCTCTCAAATACATGCAACCATTGAGTGTATGTCAACAAGCTTCTTCTACAGAAAATCCTATGGCTAGCTTGTTAATCCACCAATTAAAACTTGCAGGTCTTTATTTTTCTGAAAATATATTTAAACAAATTAACTGCAGCATATGAAACTATTTGAAAATGTTTAGCTTAAGTTGTTGAGCAATTTGAAGTCTTAGGTATTACTGTTTTATACTACCTTATGTCAAATTGTATGTTAGTCGTAACATTAAAAATTAACAGACAGTAATGGTCCAAACAAAGCAGTAATAACAATACCACAACCTGCAATTTTTATACCTTGAAGTTCTGATGTTGCCCCATTTAGTTAAAAAAATCTATGCTACCCTTTTGCCAAATGGCATTCAAGAAAGCTTAATAAAATTCCTGAACACATAAAAACACCCCAAAATAAAGCCAGAAACAAATAAAACAGCATTAAGTAATCCAGCAACTGATAAATTATCAGCAAACCACCTGTTAAAGCAAGGCAAACATGACACTAAAATAAAAATGGAACTAAGCATATCATTTATATGAAAATAAGGAAGGGGGAGAGTATACACTCATTTAGCATTCTTTCTTATATCAATGCTATTTAACATATATGGTATATGCAGCTTAATCTTAGAAGCAGCATCCACACAAAAGCAAGAAAGACTGAGTTCAGTCCATGTCTAAATAAAAGGTTTCCCATTTGTTTCTGGGCCTAATTCAAGGTGTTGGGTTACTATCCATACAGCCCTAAATTGCTTAGGGCCAGGATAGCTGAAGGACTGCCTAATCTTATATAAACCTGCCTATCCACTGAGGTCATCATCAGAAGTTCTGCTCTGTGATCTGTATCAAGGGAGGGATGATAGATAGTAACATGAGATAGGGTTTACTGCAGTAGTATCCTGATTGTGGAACTCTTTCCAAGGAAAGTTTATCATTCATTCATTCATTCATTCTCAGGTTTTTTCCTTCTCACAAGCAACCTACTATGCTTTAAATTGTCCTCAATATTTTATCCTCATAACAACCTTGTGAAGTATGCTAGGATGAACGTGAGTGATAGCCCCAAGTCACTCAAGTGTGCTTTGTGGATGAGTAGGGTGTAGAACCTGCATCGTCCCAGTTCAAGAAACTAAACATTATGCCACAACTGGCTTCTTTGATGCCTTCTGATGCCTTGTAAAGACATTTAAACTATTGTTGAATCATCCGCTTTGTTGTTTGTAAAGCAATGATTTAATATTTTATATTTAAAATTACAAACTAGCTTGGAAGCCCTTCTGAAGGCAGAATATACATTATTTTAATTAATAAATAATATATTGTCTATAGTAATTCTAGATCAATTTTTGTTAAGTATTTTTAAATCTTTTTTTGAGTCATACTATTATGCATTTCACACAGTATATTTTTGAATTTCTTTGTATACTGAGCCATCACTATAATTTTCATTTTCTATCTTTCACATAGACGCCATGCAGACTGGAATTTCATGCCAACATCTTCCCTTTGTGGATCTGTGGGCTTTATGCCACTGTTTTCAGGAGCTTGGTTTCATCCCAATGACATGTTCCAACCTGATTTACTCATTACACCCATTTAGTTTGGTAAGTTTGATACCTGCATTATTGTAAATCTGGGACTTGCAGCTTTGAAAATATACAAAACGAAAAGTATTTTACTTACATATACTCAAAGTTGTGTCACTGCTGCAATTGTGCAAATATTTCATTACTGTAACAATGTCATATATTGTGCAACAAACACAGACAAGATGTGATTAATTTTTTTGTTTTATCACTGACCACTCAGTTCAAAGTTTTTAAATTTTCTATGAAAATATTTTGTGTACTAATATGCAGAAACTATGCATTTCTCTCTCTCTGTTTCACACACACACACAATTCCTCATGAATCAAAAAGCACATTTTTAAATATAACAGACCCTTTTGTAAAAGCTGGAAATTAGTATTATAGAATGTTACCAAATTAAGTTTAATAGCTCCAAAGTATTAGATATTTTCTTTCATCTAAACTGCATAAAGGAAGCCACAATCTTGAGTTTTTAAGAGCTGAGCAAGGCTGTGAAGAACAGGACAGTTTGGAGGGGACAGGGTTTCCATAATTCAAAGATTATGTCATAGTATGTTAACAACAATATGCAACATATTAATTTTTACAACATATTGGATTGTTTTCTCTGGTATATCATGATGGTCTAGAATTATAAACAATAAAGCTGAACTGATTGTGAGTTATATTTTGCCGATTCAGAAGACACATTTTTACATTTGGTTTCTGGCATCTCTTTGGTCAAGTTCAAACATTACTTGTGTAAAGAACTGCAAGTACAACTTGCATGGCTTGATTATTGCTTTCACTATATACAAAGATTATAAAACCTATTAAGCACTGCACTTGTCTCATTTCAGTATATGTCTTAACTGCCTTTTTGGTCCATGAGATCTGTTCTCATATAATACTGTCATGTAAATTAAGTTCCTTCACAGTTTATTTTACATCTCACTTCAAAATAAGAAAATGAAGAGTTTGCATCCTTACATTTAATATGATACTATCCAATAATATTCCACAAACTTGAATAGCTCCACTGGAGTTCCACTAAATCTTTTCATCATACAAACAAGTTGTGCAATCAGTTGTGGAACAACTAAAGTAACATTTGCACAAACAGTTGTACAAGTAGTTCTGCATTATGCTTGTGCAATCCAGTACACATAACTCTTGTGCAACCCATTTTTCAATTACAGGCCTCACAACAGGCTGCAAACATGACTTTTGCAGACTTCTTATGCATTGTTCAGAACCTAGTTTCCATTAATGCAACATTATTTGCACTAATGGAACGATGCAGTTGGGTACTTCCCAGGATTATGTTTAACACTTTTTCATCTCTCACAAAGTCTCTTGACATTCACCATGACAAGGCAGTGATCCATGAAAGGGTAACAATTACTAAAGCTCTTTTCTCAGGAACGTGTACATTTTAAAATATAGTGCATGTAAATTAGTGTTTCTGGGAGAAACAGACATTTAGCCATATAAGAAAATATTAATAAAGCAGAAGTCAAAGCACACTAGCATTTCCCAGCACTGTACAACCATAAATAGAAAACATTTTCTTTTCCTCAAGTACCATCAAATTTATACAGAAAAGATGCTAGCATTTGACACTAATTTCCTCACTGGACACTGTGTTCCTTTTTTCACTTATTGAGAAGAAATGGACGAGAACTGTACATTTAATAAATTAGACATTTTTAGAAAATGAAAAACAACCTCTTACCTGAGCGTGAAAATTGGACATAGTTGTTGTCTCTATATCTTTCTTTCCCAAAATCTCCATTTTCACTGGCGAATTGGGAAAATTAAATGAAAAGTAGTCTAAAAAGTCAGGTAAATAAGTAGCTGCCCCATGAACAATTCCCATTACATAGTAAGCTGCACAGTTTTCATTTTCACTAAAAACCAGACCCACAAATTCTTCTGCAAATCTCTCCATCTCCACAGGAGACAAGTGGGAGAGTTCATTACTGTAGGCATGGATAACTGAAGCACCTCCATTAGGCTGGTGCTCAATATGAATGAACTGTTTGAATTCCAACATGTCCAACCTTTTGAGTTTTTTTTGAACCCGTGGCTCCTTTAACGAGACAAATGGAAACTCACTGTTCTCTTGTAACTTGTACTCAGAGTTCTTCTTGGGATCCATATTTTTTCCATTGAAATTCTTAAGGTGATTATCAACTATGCCTTTGGCGTCTTGATCCTCAGTATCAGAAAGCAATCCTGAGCAGATGGTCTGAATAGATTTACTGTACATTTTTGGACGCTTCCTTTTTTCACATTCTTTATGTTTCTTTTTCTTTTTCTTCTTTACCTTTTTAACCTGTAGATCTTCTGAATTGCTTTTTGGTTTTTCCTTCACACCTATTAATAGAAAAAAATTGTTTTAACTTTTTCTGACTCTGAAGCGACATATCAAGAAGATTAAAAATGTGATTTATAAACACACCAAAGTAATTTAGCATAAGGCAAGCTAACTTCTAAAATATCATAACTTTAAACACACTACACATAAACCCTAACAAGTAGCAATACTAATGTTTTGGATCATATATGAAGAACATAGCATTGTTGAAAGCCAGAGTTTGCTATTTGATTACATTACAGATTTTATATTTATGATCACAATTACCAATGGTATACAATATGTGTTAAAGCACAATTCATCTGCTACTTAACATTTTAACTTCTTGGTCTGAAGAAAATGTAAAACGATTTCAGCTGTCGCTACTTGTGGCACAAACATTACAGTGCAGTTAATACTGAGGCTGCTCACTACTTCCACAGGAAGAACCAGCATGAAAAGCAAATGTGGCATCAAAATTAACAATGGCAGCTCAGATTCTCCACAAAATATTTCACATTGAACATTATTTCTTTCATTTAGAATAAAAGGCAATTCTAAACTTCAACCTTGTTCAATAAATTTAATCAGCCCTACTATCTGTTCTTTAACTACAACAGCCAACATATAGCTTTACCTATCCAACAAACAATTTTGTAAACATTGCTGAAAGGCACAATTTTCAATTCCAACTATTCTTATTGCCAGGACAGTCTACTTATTATCTTTCTGAGTATACTTCAGCTGAAGAACACATACATGTGCATACACAGAACCCAAGTTCACAGACTTACTGAAAGAGCTATATATATTAATATCCCTGAATACATACTGATAAAGCTACAGGAAAAACTTGGTGCTACTTACTTAATTTGCTCCCAGGATTATTCCTGGCCAAGTCATTTTACTGTGTTATTTTTGTCAGCTGTTATGAGAACCCAATTTAAAAAGCAAGATACAAATTTAGGTGATAAAATTAGATAAGGAGGAAATAAAATAGTTGCCAACAAACAAACCACCTCCAGAAATAGGAATAGAAGTAGAATTTCTTACTGACTTGTGGAATATTTAACAAAATGTTGTAGCATGCATCTGATCACTGTTCAGTTATGCACTCCTCCATCATACTTCATAACAATACTCTTCCCACTCCAGAAAAACCTTGGTATCTGTTTCAATACAGCCTGCTTGCATGTTAATATTGCCACTTTGGCTACATAAAGACCAGTTCTCTGAGAATGGAAATCACTATTAGTATATACTATGATAACAATCTAAGCAAGTCTTGAGACATATTGGTAATTGTTTTACTTATTAAGCAGTACTGGATTTCTAATTGCTGCTCCATATAAATATGAATCCATTACAACCTGATCCAAAAATTTACTGTAACAGTATAGAAAGAGAGATACTGCTAAACATATGCAACACTGTAAAATTGTGTTTTGCAGCTCATCACAGTGCAAGTGAAAATCTTTAGGATTTTTTAAAATTTGGCCTTTTATAGCCTACTTTTCTATGATAAAATCAAACTAATTGTGACTTACAAATTAAAATGCAAGTTTCACCAAGAATTAAAAATCTATAATAGTAAAGAATCATAAATCATAAAAAACTGAGACAGTATTGAACTAAAATGCCTACCAAAATAAAAGTCTTGTCTGTTTATTGTCTGAGGACCTGACTAACCTCACCTAGACATTTCCATTTCCTAGGTACCAGAAGGAAAAAGGCCCTTTCTTTATTTCCCACCAGCCACTCTTCCTTTGGTAAAGGGATAGCGAGGAGGGTTTCAGCGCCACCTACATACTGTGAGCATGCTCAAACGGATGGAGAACATTCCTGAGCTCCCAGGCTTTTTAGGCCATTGAAGGCTAAAGTGAGTACCTTCAAAACTGAGACTGGAAGTCAGTGATAATTTCTGGAACAATTTCTATAGCTTTATTTTTCCATGGAAAAGTTCATTCGTAAAATGAATAATGAATGTATGCCAATTACAAATGCAATATTTAGATAGTATGGCAGTTCAAAGTTGTAACTGATGTTTTTCAAGTGTAATTAATGTTTTTTCTTAGCAAGAATGTGGTAGAATACATATGTAATTTAAATATATATGTCTCCGAGTGAAATGGAACTAATAGCAAGAAAAATGGAACTGATAATAGCGAGAGTGAAACTGATGGTGGCTCAACAATTTCAATGGTAGAAACTTGAACTCTTTTGAAAAAGATGAGTGGCTGTCAGCATATCATGCATATGTCTTCGGTTGATAAACGTAAGGTGTTGATGCTTTACAAATTTCCACCCTTTAAATCTAGCTGGGTTCATATTAAACATTCTACCCCTTCCAAGCATCCAAGTTGACACCAAAGGGACTATGAATGGTTGGCAAGCTTTTTGCTTTTAATGTCCTATCAAAAAGTAACCACTACCCTGTCAAAACCCTGTTTTTAAAAAGAATGCAGAGTTTTGACATTATGTTCATTTACCCTCAAAATGGGGTGGAACAGACTTTTGCATTTTCCTAAATAACTACAGTATATCACAGAAGTGAGTACAACCCTCACATTTTGTAAATATTTTATTATATATTTTCATGTGACAACCCTGAAGAAATGACATTGTTACAATGTAAAGTAGTTAGTATACAGCTTGTATAACAGTGTAAATTTGCTGTCCCCTCAAAATAACTCAACACACAGCCACAATTGTCTAAACGACTGGCAACAAAAGTGAGTACACCCCTAAGTGAAACTGCCCAAATTGGGCCCAAAGTGTCAATATTTTGTGTGGCCACCATTATTTTCCAGCACTGCCTTAACCCTGTTGGGCATGGAGTTCACCAGAGCTTCATAGGTTGCCACTGGAGTCCTCTTCCACACCTCCATGACGACATCATGGAGCTGGTGGATGTTAGAGACCTTGTGCTCCTCAACCTTCCGTTTCAAGATGCCCCACAGATGCTCGATAGGGTTTAGGTCTGGAGACATGCTTGGCCAGTCCATCACCTTTACCCTCAGCTTCTTTAGCAAGGCAGTGGCCGTCTTGGAGGTGTGTTTGGGGTCGTTGTCATGTTGGAATACTGCCCTGCGGCCCAGTCTCCGAAGGGAGGGGATCACGCTCTGCTTCAGTATGTCACAGTACATGCTGGCATTCATGGTTCCCTCAATGAACTGTAGCTCCCCAGTGCCGGCAGCACTCATGTAGCCCCAGACCATGACACTCCCACCACCACGCTTGACTGTAGGCACGGCACACTTGTCTTTGTACTCCTTACCTGGTTGTTGCCACACACACTTGACACCATCTGAACCAAATAAGTTTATCTTGGTCTCATCAGACCACAGGACATGGTTCCACTAATCCTTGTCCTTAGTCTGCTTGTCTCCAGCAAACTGTTTGCGGGCTTTCTTGTGTATCATCTTTGTAAGAGGCTTTCTTCTGGGACGACAGCCCTACAGACCAATTTGATGCAGTGTGCGGCGTATGGTCTGAGCACTGACAGGCTGACCCACCACCCCTTCAACCTCTGCAGCAATGCTGGCAGCACTCATACATCTATTTCCCAAAGCCAACCTCTGGATATGATGCTGAGCATGTGCATTCAACTTCTTTGGTAGACCATGGGGAGGCCTGTTCTGAGTGGAACCTGTCCTGTTAAACTGCTGTATGGTCTTGGCCACCGTGTTGCAGCTCAGTTTCAGGGTCTTGGCAATCTTTTTACAGCCTAGGCCATGTTTATGTAGAGCAACAATTCTTTTTTTCAGATCCTCAGAGAGTTCTCTGCCATGAGGTGCCATGTTGAACTTCCAGTGACCAGTATGAGAGAGTGAGAGCGGTAACACCAAATTTAACACACCTGCTCCCCATTCGCACCTGAGACCTTGTAACACTAATGAGTCACATGACACCGGGGAGGGAAAATGGCTAATAATGTCCAATTTGGACAGTTTCACTTAGAGGTGTACTCACTTTTGTTGCCAGCGGTTTAGACATTAATGGCTGCATGTTATTTTGAGGGGACAGTAAATTTACACTGTTATACAAGCTGTATACTCACTACTTTACATTGTAGCAAAGTGTCATTTCTTCAGTGTTGTCACCCGAAAAGATATAATAAAATATTTACAAAATGTGAGGGGTGTACTCACTTCTGTGATATACTGTAGCATCTTGAAGAAAAGTGCAAAATAGTTAGGACTCCTGAAGACAGTCGGGGGGGGGGGAGATGAAGATCTCTCCACCTACTGCTGTGAGCAAATATCTCCGTTGCCTTTGCTTTCCCTTGACAGCATACCTTTTGACAGTTGACAAGGCAAAGCAAAGCAAAGCAAAGCAAAGAATAACTATTTGGAATCTCTCTGTGTTGATGTCCAGAAGTGGTATCTGCTGTACTCTTGAGGCAGCACCCTGTAGGACATTATCAGGGTGCTGAAGCTAAAAGAAAGAAGGAGGGAGGGAGGAGGAGGAGGGTGGGGAGGGTCTGTGCTCATTGCAGGTATATTTTAAAAAACAGTTTCCCAACCACCAACAGCCTCTCCAATGTACTGCTTGAGCACTTTAAAGATCTTCTCATGAAAACTTGCCATCAAGCCAGAAACTATGTTCTCCAAAGAGGAATAAAAGAAAGTTAAATGGGAAAAAAGCCACACTTAATATAAAAGAACTCATAATTGCTGTGGAAGCTGGGGGAAGCAGCCAAGTCAGCTGTGGATATCTGCAGGAGGACCCAAGGGGAAAGGAGAGAGAACAATGCACAGTGAACCCAATTATTGGCTTGTTGCACTGTGTGTTGGTTCACGCAATTAAGTGAGTGGCATCAGTGTGGGTTAGCATAACATGTGAATACATCCAATGAAAGGAAAGTACATGCTACTGCATTTATATTTTTGCAAGTATTCCAATAAAAATGACTGCCTAGGATAACATTTCAATCACAAATAGAAAACTGTAATAAGTTTCCCCCCCAAATATTTCATTTAAAATACTTGTGTTATACTAGAACAAAAAATTAACAAAAGATACTTTACAAACACTTAGCTTACTAAATACAATTAAAATAAACATGATAAATAAGAACCCTCTAAGGCAGGAGTCAGCAACTTGTGGGCTTCTAGAAGCATTGGCATACAACTCCCATCAACTCTAGCCAATGTAGGCAGGTCAACTCTTCTGAAACATCACAAATTGCACACCCTGTTCTAGACTCCCAGAATATCATCTGATACAAACTGATTTTCTTCCTAAGCTAATGACCCTATGCACATTAACCTAACTGGCATCTGAACATTTTCCAATTAAAAGTTTTCTGGAAAAACCACATCACTGCTGGAAAAAGACTAGATGCCAATGATGTTAACATAAAATGTCCTCAATATGGTCAGTTATGGTCTAATTGGATGCTGCATTCTGAACCAACTGAACGTTCTGGTCTTTCTTCAGGAGCACTCCCATGAAGAGTGCATTACAGTAAACCCAACTTTAAAGTGACCTGGGTGTGAACTACTATGTTCCAATTTATCCAGGAAAGGACAAACAAGAAAACCTAAATTTTTTTTTAAAGGCACCCCTGACCATCAATATCACCTACACATCAAGAAGGGCCAGATCCAAGTACACCTCTAGAATAGGATGAATGTCTCTTCCAAAATCATCAGCACAACCACCCAAAGTATGGAAAAAACTTTAGTTTATTCATCTTCAGTTACTCCCAAATGGCTGTTTAGCACTTCTGCTGCCTCCTCAGGAGCAGGTGTTAATATCCAGTAAAATTCCATTTTTTTAATTAATACATTCATGACATTACACTACAAATTTCAGGATGACTTCACCCAGCAGTTCCATGTAAAGCTTAAAAAACATGGCGAAGAATAGAGAATTTTGCAGCATGCTTTAAATGAGGTGTGAGGGCTTGATGAATACGCAGTAAATGACATCATTGGATATGGCTTTAGTGGACAGAAATACCTATTTTTAGTTTCAGCGGGTAATTAGGTACAACCCTTTCTGAACAAAGAAAGGGGGCTGAACTTTCCAATCCTATGATTCTACAGAAGCTTGGTCAGAATGGTCCATGCTCCAGTAACTTTCACATTGGATTATTTCAATGTACCGTATTTTTCCGTGTATAAGACGACACTTTTTCTTAAAAATATTTACCTAAAAATGGAGGGGCATCTTATTCACGGGGGCAGAGAGAACTGTGGTTGTGAAACTGTCAATACCTTATCTCTGCAAACTAGCCTCACAAGCGAAACTTCCAATTGCAGAGACAAGCTAACAGGTTTCCTCCAATCATGAGCCTTATGTAACTGACGTCAGTTGATGCTTCGGAAAGCGTGTAGCCCAGGGTTCCTCAAACTTTTTCAACAGGGGGCCAGTTGAAAGGTGGCGGCAGCAGGCACGCTTGGCGGGGGGAGACGGGCACGATCGTGGGCACACTGGGGGGGAGACGGGCATGATTGCGAGTCCACTTGGGGGAGACTGGTGCAAATACGGACACGGGGAGGCGGAAGCTTGCTCACTCGGAGATCAGTAAGAAGAGTGGGGGGGGCATCCTATACATGGGGACCTCTTACAGACGGAAAAATACAGTACTCTATGTTAGGCAGCTCTTCAAGACTGTTTGGAAGCTGTAATTGCCATGGAATACAATAGTCCAGGTGCCGACAGACAGCACTAATAAGACTCATATTACTCCAGGCCAAATTGCTTCCAAGTCCACTTCTAGTTGCTGATGTTAACATAAAATTCCCAGAAAAACTTAAGGCTCAAATACCTGAAAGAGCATATCCTCCCCTATAAACTAGCTGAGGTATTAGGATCACCAGGGCAAGCTGTTATCAATATCAGCTCGTTTGGAATTCTTGGAATGTTGCAGCAAGAAAATGTTTTCTTTGTGGTGACCTCAAGTTTGTGGAATACCCTCTCCTTTGAAATGATTCTAGTGCATTCGCTGCACACATTGCAGCAGCAAGTCAAGATGCACCTCTTTATCCAGGCCTTTGGAAATAGATGAAGGATATATGATAGTATCTGTAGTGGAGCTAGGTTGTAAAGTAACATGAATTGTACTTTTGATGCGAATTTTAATTTGTTTTATAAATATGTATGTATCCTGCCATGTGACCATAAAGCAAGGGGCAGGCTATACATTTAAACATAAACACATGTACCTTGCTTTACATATATTGAGCTAAATAAACCATACATTTCTCCAGATGGGAACATTCTGTCAACAAATGGTTTTCTCTTCCTTAAGTACTTAATCAAAAGAGAAAGTTTCTACTCTCCACAACTTTATATTGAGATTTGCACCAAGCAAAACAAGTACGCATGAAAGAAGCTATAAGGGACATAATACTTCAAATTTACCTTTCTGAAATAGCTTCATTTCTCCATTTTCTTTCTTGATTTCAGACACTGACCTATGTTTCTTCTTCTCTTTCTGTTTTTCATTATCCTTTTCAGTCATTTTGTCTCTGACAATTTGATCTAAAAAACAAACATTTTTCATATTCAACCAGAAGTCATAGAAAGAAATTACCACTGTTAAAAATTATTGCAAGACAAAACGGTTTTGAAGATCCTGAAATAAGAGCTATTTGGTGATTTTATACATAATTTATTGTAGTACATAAATTATACATAATTTATTGTAGACTTAAGGAAAGTCTAAACCAGCATGGATGTTCTTGCTGTGTCTACTATACTACAAAACTCCTACCTGTACTTGCTATATCTACTGTACTACAAAACTCCTCTACTCCTATTCAAAATATACATGTACATACTATGTGCACATGAAACCATTTATAAAATATGAACAGAAAATCATTTTGGAAGTCTAAGAAGAAGTAGTATCATGGCTACTTTTTTCATGAGATTTTCCATGTGATTGCCACTTGGTCCACAATTTATTGGTGCACTTTTAACAAAAGACATAAGAAAAATGACAGCATTATGGGATTTCTGATTCCCAGGTCCACAATTTGTACAGCCTTGTAGAGAACCAGTAGTCAGGTTGTGATTAAATGAGTGGTGCATAAATAAAATGGGCAAGATAATTGAATACTTTATAAATAAATTATCTTAATTATGATTTGTCCAAATTATCTATTTCTCTTTGAACATGACACAAGAAAAGCAAAAACAAAGTATTCCAAAAGTGAACTACGATGGATCATCTACAATTCATTTGTAACTTAAAGCCTGTCCTTCCCATAATTCAGCATGGATATGAACACAAATTATAGCTCTACAAAATACAGTTGTGTGATGTGAAATGCCAATTACAGCACTTTCAAGTGACAATGTACTTGAACTGGAGCTGTACTGGATCAAAGAACTAGCTGGTCAGCATTCTAGTAGTACAGTGGCCAACCAGTTGAATATGGGAAGCCCGGAGCAGAATACACCAGCATGCTCCCTCTTGTGTTCCTAAGCAATTTGAATACACAGACATCATAGCCTGGTTCATTTGATATAAAAACCCATCATGGGTAACTTAGTTACAGTGGCTTGTCAATTCATCCAGACTGCTTCCTACAGGGTGGCTTATTTTTTTCCTCAACAAGCCTCCCTGAAAACCTGTGGATGGCTCTAGAGGTTGTCCAACCCATGATGGGTTGTTGTGTCATCCTGATCTAGGCAACTAATCCACCATGTATTGGGGAAGTGACAAATACACCTTTGTAATTTCACCCATGCAGCCACCAGTCACACCCCTCCAAAGTGCCAAGCAATGCACTTGCTATATTTGTTTGGTCACAAAAGTGTACATTTTTTCTGAATTATCTTTTAATTGTTGCAGAGGTACACAGTTGCACAAGTCTAAAAGTGGGAGGCCTCATCTGGACAATGTTCCAGGGGGTACTTGCTGTCAAAATGCTGCAGGTATCAACCATGGATATCAACCCAGAGAGACTCCGGCTCTGTTGTTTTCCCTTAATTTTGTTATGATGTGGAAGATGTCAAAAAGTGAGATAACAAGCCAAAGCAAAACTACAAGAGATCTTTGCTTTTGAAAGGGGAGATTACTTTCCCCCCTTTGCAGGGTTCTGAGCATCTCTCTCATGAGTCCCAATTCCCCCAAATTTCCCACTCATTCTCAAGAATCTACATGCTCGCAAGATGCAAAGTACACCCATTTTTGCTAACTTTTGCTTCTGATAACTATCAGTAGATCTCTTTTTGAAAACAGGGATTTAAGCCAGGCAAAACAGGACAAGAATGCATACAGATTACATTTTTCCCTAAGCTAAAAAGTTTAAAATGTAAGCTCTCCTCACAGGGGAGTTTTTTCAGCCCTCTGATTATATATATTAATATTCTAGACTATACTCCATATTATGAGATATTTGATTGATACCGAAGTCCTGTCTGATAATAAAACCAGAATGAATGACAGAAAAGGATAACTGTCTTTTACCATGCAACACAATTGGCTACAAATGATCAGAATACTCTACAAAGCACACAGCATTCTGAAGTTATTCCCTTTAAGAACTAAATAAATTCTGTACAATCTCAGTTAAAAGAAATACATCTCTAATTTCAAATCTTAAAATGAGTAAAGTTCCTCTGTATAATATTTCCCATCTACCCAGTTGTTTAATCTGCTACAATGCCTTTATAAATAATTAGAAAACAAATGTTTACTAGAATGAAGAAGCCATCCAGTAGACTGCTCCATGTTAAACACAACTGACACATAAAAATTAGCAAGTAACCAAGTGTGCAGTATTCCAAAACCTACAAAAGATTTTTCCAATTTGTTTTAGAATGAGGATGCTAAAATATGCATCTGCTTTGGATCTGCTTCCAGAGTGGACCAACACCATCAGCAGAACAGTACAATGAAATCAAAAGAAAACAAGGGAACCCCTCCACAAAAAAAAGTCTTACACGATAAGCCTTGTCAGAGGGAGGTTGAAATTACTACATTAGTGCTGTAGAAACTGAGAGATCCATTAGATACCATTGTAAGAGGCCCAATTTTAAAAAGTTGCCCCAACTAAGGCAAAACACTCCTATGAAAAACATAACATCAGAAGGAATTAAAATCCCTTTCAAAAGCATTATGATTTCAATGTTTATGATTTTAATGATTTAATAGTAACTCCTTACTATGTCTAGCACAGGCAATATGACAAGGAAAGTCTCAAAGATAGTAAGAAGGATGCATGGACATGCATGTTCCTTTTTCATGCTTTCTAAAGACTAAAAGAAAATAATATTTAAAATGCTGTCAAGAACAGAAAAATAAACAGATTTCCTGCTTATCTATTTGCCATTAATAGCTATAAGTATTCTTTTGTAACGGAGGAATGAAACAAAGATGACAATTTACTGCAAAAAAGGAGTCAACAACTTCAGCCTTGAACAGAGATTTAAAAACCCAAACACCTTGAAAATACTGCAAGGAGGGTGTACTTCCAAGTAACCAGTTTCTTCCAGCAATCCTTGGGAGAAATCCAGGTGTAGACTGAAATTTCTCAGAACTTGGCAGAGCCTAGTTTAAATGTATGCAGCCTACTGCCACTCTACATTTTAAGTCTATAACCAAGAAGTTCCCAGAAATAGTGAAGACTCCTTCCTCAATTAATACTGGGAGCAAAGACTGTTTCATAGGGAGATGATCCATTCTGTGACTTTTAGAGCCTATTCTGTTATTGTTTATGAAGAGTTAATACCTCTGTGTTGTAGTTTAAATGGCCCTCCAGTCCTAGAACAGTTATCCTCAATACAATCTGCTTTGAAACATCTACTAACTGTGGCCTGGTTAAATGGAACCAATGGATGAACAGGGTTTTGATGCTCCTCTTTCCCAAGTTCTGCTAACACTGGTCTATTGGAAAAAAATGACAGACATGATTAAGATGTGTTTTTAGAAATGTCAGATATGGTTCTTTTATAAGTTCTTTCCAATGCCAAACTTCTACAATGAACGAAACACCTCTAACAACAATTTTTAGAATAAGCAACTTCCAGGCAGTGTGACAGAGACCACCAGGTTTACCTAAGTAAAGCAGCTTATCCTGAATTCTAAATTATTCAAGGGGAAAAGGGGAAAAGAGGGGTAGCCACTGCAATTAAAGTATGCTTTAATTCTTTATGCACATGCTTGGATGTTCCTTCCCAGGTAAATATATTTGAAAGGAATGAAAAAGTACCACATTGCTCAAGAACAGACACATAGGGTCCAGGAATCTACTCTTTATCTTAGCAGGATCATTAACTGTGCCTACTTGAAATCTGTATTTTTATTATTTATTAAAACATTTTTATGCCACCCCATTCGCCGAAGCCTCGGGGCGGCTTACAACAGTAAGTATTAAAACCTTTATTAGGCAAACCATCTGTAATCCACCCAGAGAAAATAATTGATGTTTAATAAAGTAATAACTTGATTGCATTGATAAAGGTATTGCACTACTATGATTCTGGCATTTTCTTAATGTCATCGTTGCTATCTCTGTCTTTATTTGTGTTTATTTTGATAAGCCTATGCATCCACATCTCCTGAACTCTGCAATCAATGCTAATTTTATGAATATGCATGACAACTGATAACATTAAAATTCTTTCCATCTTATGCAAAAACATATTTTGTCCTTTGCTACGGAAAAATTCAGGACACTGACTTCCAAGAGAACATTAAAAAGTATCAGGATAAATAAATAAACTCTAATAAGCTATTCTGATAAGAATACAGAAAGCCAAAACAGATTTGTCTAAGCAAATATATTTTGGCAGTGCAGAAGGCATGTTGGCTCCATGACCAAAGGTTTTGGATTATACTCCTATGTTGAATAAATATTTACTTGCAAACCAGTGTGTTTTAATTGTTATAGCAACCGGTTTGCCTGTATGCTTGTTTACCAAATATATCCATTTTAACAAGAAAATTTAATCTAAATCAATCCATCATGCCCAAGAACAAGACACCCAAATCTATTAAAGTGTAATCCATTTTAACTTCTAACTTTGAAATCACATTTACATCATAAATAATCTACCGACAGGTATCTATCAAGGAAGCAATGAATTCCAATTTTAAGTCTATAAAACCAAATAACATGGCCCAAGACCCCAGTTTCCTTGTTTCTTCATCCAGCTTTCAGACAGACAGACTGCCATTTCCTTAAGGGCAACTGATTTGGCAAAGTGCTCCATGATATCCCGCTTAGCAAACTAGCCAAATGTGGGCTAGATGGAACAACAATCAGATGGAGCCACAGTTGCATACAGAATCAGACTCAAAGACTCCTCATCAATGGCACCTTCTCAAACTGGGGAGAGGTAGCAAGTAGGTTACTACAGGGCTCAGTCCTGGACCCAGTGTTCTTCAATTAATTACTTGGATGAGGAAGTGAAAGGAACAATTATGTAATTTGCAGATGACACAAAACTAGGTGGGATAGCTAATACCCTAGAAGTCAGAAACAAGATTCAAGGTGATCTTGACAGATTGGAGTGCTGGGCTGAAAACA